ATAATATCTCAGCACGGGCAGACCAGACTCTAAAATTAGACGATGCGGTGTCTTTTTGGGTGGTTCAAAGTGAAGCTGGCACATTAGCTATTGCAAAGTAGCAGCGTGCAAAAAGGGCAGCCGTGGTATATTCACCACTACCACACCTAGTGAAGAAGCTCAAATCCTTCAGCCCGCGGACAAAGTAGTCTTGCATATCATGAGCTTTGTTCAAGAAGGGACAATTCTGTGTTGCATTTCTCATCGTGGGCGAACTGGGGACGCTGTTATCCTGAGCCAAGCAACTTGACCCCTGCCGACCTTGGTCGAGACGTGCCGTAATGACTCGTGCTTGGACCCCTTAGGCTGCAGGCAACCAACGCAGGTGGCATCCACCACGGTCACGTCGCCGGTCGCCTCACGAAGACATTTGCCGATTGCGGTGCGCTTGTGTGCTGCTCTTTTTGTCGATCAGTTTGTGCTGCAGGGTCAGAAACGAGGCACCTGTCATCATGCAGGGCTCCAACAAGAGAGATGCCCGACCAGACGCCGGCTACCGACCAGACGCCCTCCACGCGGTCATAGACGGCGCTGGGGTCGTCGTCAACATTGTACAAGAGCGGCCGTCGCCACGCCTGCACGAAATAAATTCAGTGCACGGGCGGCCAGCACGACCCCAAGCATCAGCCTGGCCCAGTGTATGTCGGCGCTCTACATGCCCATGTACGTCAACAAGGGGACATCTTGTCTCGCAGTTGGCCAGGGCACGACAGGGCGCGTACTCGCTCTTCGCAACAATAAACGCCACGCGCAGGGCGCAGGGCACAAGGCGCAATGCGCAACGGACACAAGGCGCTACGGGCACAAGGCGCAACGTGCAAGTTGAGACTGTCTTGAAGCTCCCACTACCCACAATTGGCCCCAGCTAAACTCGCGGTCCAAAAGAGGCAATCGTCTGCAAGGGTCGCCCTGCAACGGGCAAGGCACAGCGCGCACCCTGCTCTTGCCAGCAGCGCCGCTATCGCGATGGTCTTCCACAAGGAAGACAAGCCCCTAATGACCGAGGCCGTGCCCCCAGGCCTCGCCTTGCTCTCGGTCGACCATATAGAGACAGAACCACACAGAGAGAGACAGAGAGAGAAGAGAGAGAAGAGAGAGAGAATCAATTCGAATTCAAAGCTTTCAAAACATCAAGCAGCTTTTGACTGTCGGGCGCTGCTGTGGCTTCCCCTCTCACACAAAGCTCCATCGACTCGATCAGGCTCGGCAGCTCCTTAAGCGCGTGCTCCTCGTGCACCGTCGGATGCGCTGCCCTGTTACCATCGCTGCGCACACTATTCAATGCATTGAAAAAGTCGTCCAAATTACCCAGTCGTGGGAGCACGTCAGCATACGCTTGGACTGCCCACTCCTGAAGGCCCGGCTTCCACTTGTAAAACAAGGTGTGGAAATCTTCTGTGTCTGCTGGACACCCCTTCTGCGGAACACGACCTCGGAAGCCATCGTCTTGCGCCACCTGTGCGGTGGCCCAGTCCATGTACTTGAACAGCAGACGAAGCCGGTGGATGTCATCGTCACACGGCCATGAACAAGAGTCACTCGGCCAAAAGCGCTCGCCCACGATTGTGGCGAGCTTGATGATGATTTGGCGCTTCAAGATGGGATACTTCAGCGTTTGTCGGATCGTTTGAAGCTCCGCCTGCACCTCCTCCATCTGTTGCTCGTGTTTGGTTTGCATTTGCTCGATCTGTTCCTCTTGTCGCTTGTTGACGGCTTGTTGTTCCGTGAGCTCGTCCCGCACCTCCTTGATCTGTTCCTCTTGTCGCTTGTTGACGGCTTGCTGTTCCGTGAGCTCGTCCCGCACCTCTTTGTTGACGGCTTGTTGTTCCGTGAGCTCGTCCCGCACCTCCTTGTTGACGGCTTGTTGTTCCGTGAGCTCGTCCCGCACCTCCTTGTTGACGGCTTGTTGTTCCGTGAGCTCGTCCCGCACCTCCTCCATCTGTCGCGCGTGTTTGGTTTCCATTTCTTCCAACTTACCGAGCATCTCGGCTCGTAAGTCAGCATACGGAAACTTGTCCAGCTCGCCTTCAATCAAATTCAGGCGATTCTCAGACCCGTCCATTTGAGCAAGGGCCTCTTTGACCTTGGACATTCTGCTCCAAGCATTCATGTCACTGCTGGCGTCGATCGAGACGTGTTCAACACCAGACAAAACCCCGTGCTCATTCCACAGCTTCGAGCGCACGTTCTCGGATTTATTCTTGTAGGGCTCGTAGAGTGCGTGCTGCTTCTCCTCCAGCTCGCTACACTTGGCATCTACAACAAAGGCACGATCGGTGAGGTCTGCCCGCTAAATGGCCCGTGCTGCAGATACAAAGCCATTCAACTTACCAAGGTCGCGACACTTGACGAGGTGGGGAGTAACATCCCACCAAGTCATGTTGTTGGTCCGAGGACACCACCACGGCTCACATACACACCAGGGGCGGCTCGAACCCTAACCCTAACCCGAGGGCGATGGGTAGCTGTCAAGCTGACAACGACAACAAAAGTGGGGGAGCGGGGGCAAAGGCGGGGAAAGCCTCGGGAAATGGCAGACCGTGCCGTCGCCTTGCAAGGATGATATCACAGCACGGTCAATCACAAATTAGGCAGCGTCCTCTCGATGAAGCAATAAAGCGATCGAGCGATGGAGTAATGAAGCGATGAAGTAATGAAGCGATGAAGCGATGAAGCGATGAAGCGATGAAGCGATGAAGCGAAAGAGCGATGAAGCAATGAAGCAATGAAGCGATGAAGCAACAAAGCAACAAAGCAACAAAGCAACAAAGCAACAAAGCGATGAAGCAATGGGAAGCTGCCAAGCCGACAACGAAACAAGGGCCAAAGCCAAGGGAAGCCTCTTGGAAAATGCCACATCGTGCGTGTTTCGCCCAGATAATATCTCAGCACGGGCAGACCAGACTCTAAAATTAGACGATGCGGTGTCTTTTTGGGTGGTTCAAAGTGAAGCTGGCACATTAGCTATTGCAAAGTAGCAGCGTGCAAAAAGGGCAGCCGTGGTATATTCACCACTACCACACCTAGTGAAGAAGCTCAAATCCTTCAGCCCGCGGACAAAGTAGTCTTGCATATCATGAGCTTTGTTCAAGAAGGGACAATTCTGTGTTGCATTTCTCATCGTGGGCGAACTGGGGACGCTGTTATCCTGAGCCAAGCAACTTGACCCCTGCCGACCTTGGTCGAGACGTGCCGTAATGACTCGTGCTTGGACCCCTTAGGCTGCAGGCAACCAACGCAGGTGGCATCCACCACGGTCACGTCGCCGGTCGCCTCACGAAGACATTTGCCGATTGCGGTGCGCTTGTGTGCTGCTCTTTTTGTCGATCAGTCTGTGCTGCAGGGTCAGAAACGAGGCACCTGTCATCATGCAGGGCTCCAACAAGAGAGATGCCCGACCAGACGCCGGCTACCGACCAGACGCCCTCCACGCGGTCATAGACGGCGCTGGGCTCGTCGTCAACATTGTACGTGAGCTGCCGTCGCCACGCCCGTACGAAATAAATTCAGTGCATGGGCCGACAGCACGACCCCAAGCATCAGCCTGGCCCAGTGTATGTCGGCGCTCTACATGCCCATGTACGTCAACAAGGGGACATCTTGTCTCGCAGTTGGCCAGGGCACGACAGGGCGCGTACTCGCTCTTCGCAACAATAAACGCCACGCGCAGGGCGCAGGGCACAAGGCGCAATGCGCAACGGACACAAGGCGCTACGGGCACAAGGCGCAACGTGCAAGTTGAGACTGTCTTGAAGCTCCCACTACCCACAATTGGCCCCAGCTAAACTCGCGGTCCAAAAGAGGCAATCGTCTGCAAGGGTCGCCCTGCAACGGGCAAGGCACAGCGCGCACCCTGCTCTTGCCAGCAGCGCCGCTATCGCGATGGTCTTCCACAAGGAAGACAAGCCCCTAATGACCGAGGCCGTGCCCCCAGGCCTCGCCTTGCTCTCGGTCGACCATATAGAGACAGAACCACACAGAGAGAGACAGAGAGAGAAGAGAGAGAAGAGAGAGAGAATCAATTCGAATTCAAAGCTTTCAAAACATCAAGCAGCTTTTGACTGTCGGGCGCTGCTGTGGCTTCCCCTCTCACACAATGCTCCATCGACTCGATCAGGCTCGGCAGCTCCTTAAGCGCGTGCTCCTCGTGCACCGTCGGATGCGCCGCCCTGTTACCATCGCTGCGCACACTATTCAATGCATTGAAAAAGTCGTCCAAATTACCCAGTCGTGGGAGCACGTCAGCATACGCTTGGACTGCCCACTCCTGAAGGCCCGGCTTCCACTTGTAAAACAAGGTGTGGAAATCTTCTGTGTCTGCTGGACACCCCTTCTGCGGAACACGACCTCGGAAGCCATCGTCTTGCGCCACCTGTGCGGTGGCCCAGTCCATGTACTTGAACAGCAGACGAAGCCGGTGGATGTCATCGTCACACGGCCATGAACAAGAGTCACTCGGCCAAAAGCGCTCGCCCACGATTGTGGCGAGCTTGATGATGATTTGGCGCTTCAAGATGGGATACTTCAGCGTTTGCCGGATCGTTTGAAGCTCCGCCTGCACCTCCTTGTTGACGGCTTGTTGTTCCTTGAGCTCGTCCCGCACCTCCTCGATCTGTCGCGCGTGTTTGGTTTCCATTTCTTGCAACTTACCGAGCATCTCGGCTCGAAAGGCAGCAGCAAACGGAAACTTGTCCAGCTCGCCTTCAATCAAATTCAGGCGATTCTCAGACCCGTCCATTTGAGCAAGGGCCTCTTTGACCTTGGACATTCTGCTCCAAGCATTCGTGTCACCGCTGGCGTCTGTCAAGGCGTGTTTAACACCAGACAACACCTGGTGCTCATTCCTCGGCTTCGAGCGCACGTTCTCGGATTTATTCTTGTAGGGCTCGTAGAGCGCGTGCTGCTTCTCCTCCAGCTCGCTACACTTGGCATCTACAACAAAGGCACGATCGGTGAGGTCTGCCCGCTAAATGGCCCGTGCTGCAGATACAAAGCCATTCAACTTACCAAGGTCGCGACACTTGACGAGGTGGGGAGTAACATCCCACCAAGTCATGTTGTTGGTCCGAGGACACCACCACGGCTCACATACACACCAGGGGCGGCTCGAACCCTAACCCTAACCCGAGGGCGATGGGTAGCTGTCAAGCTGACAACGACAACAAAAGTGGGGGAGCGGGGGCAAAGGCGGGGAAAGCCTCGGGAAATGGCAGACCGTGCCGTCGCCTTGCAAGGATGATATCACAGCACGGTCAATCACAAATTAGGCAGCGTCCTCTCGATGAAGCAATAAAGCGATCGAGCGATGGAGTAATGAAGCGATGAAGTAATGAAGCGATGAAGCGATGAAGCGATGAAGCGATGAAGCGATGAAGCGAAAGAGCGATGAAGCAATGAAGCAATGAAGCGATGAAGCAACAAAGCAACAAAGCAACAAAGCAACAAAGCAACAAAGCGATGAAGCAATGGGAAGCTGCCAAGCCGACAACGAAACAAGGGCCAAAGCCAAGGGAAGCCTCTTGGAAAATGCCACATCGTGCGTGTTTCGCCCAGATAATATCTCAGCACGGGCAGACCAGACTCTAAAATTAGACGATGCGGTGTCTTTTTGGGTGGTTCAAAGTGAAGCTGGCACATTAGCTATTGCAAAGTAGCAGCGTGCAAAAAGGGCAGCCGTGGTATATTCACCACTACCACACCTAGTGAAGAAGCTCAAATCCTTCAGCCCGCGGACAAAGTAGTCTTGCATATCATGAGCTTTGTTCAAGAAGGGACAATTCTGTGTTGCATTTCTCATCGTGGGCGAACTGGGGACGCTGTTATCCTGAGCCAAGCAACTTGACCCCTGCCGACCTTGGTCGAGACGTGCCGTAATGACTCGTGCTTGGACCCCTTAGGCTGCAGGCAACCAACGCAGGTGGCATCCACCACGGTCACGTCGCCGGTCGCCTCACGAAGACATTTGCCGATTGCGGTGCGCTTGTGTGCTGCTCTTTTTGTCGATCAGTCTGTGCTGCAGGGTCAGAAACGAGGCACCTGTCATCATGCAGGGCTCCAACAAGAGAGATGCCCGACCAGACGCCGGCTACCGACCAGACGCCCTCCACGCGGTCATAGACGGCGCTGGGCTCGTCGTCAACATTGTACGAGAGCTGCCGTCGCCACGCCCGTACGAAATAAATTCAGTGCATGGGCCGACAGCACGACCCCAAGCATCAGCCTGGCCCAGTGTATGTCGGCGCTCTACATGCCCATGTACGTCAACAAGGGGACATCTTGTCTCGCAGTTGGCCAGGGCACGACAGGGCGCGTACTCGCTCTTCGCAACAATAAACGCCACGCGCAGGGCGCAGGGCACAAGGCGCAATGCGCAACGGACACAAGGCGCTACGGGCACAAGGCGCAACGTGCAAGTTGAGACTGTCTTGAAGCTCCCACTACCCACAATTGGCCCCAGCTAAACTCGCGGTCCAAAAGAGGCAATCGTCTGCAAGGGTCGCCCTGCAACGGGCAAGGCACAGCGCGCACCCTGCTCTTGCCAGCAGCGCCGCTATCGCGATGGTCTTCCACAAGGAAGACAAGCCCCTAATGACCGAGGCCGTGCCCCCAGGCCTCGCCTTGCTCTCGGTCGACCATATAGAGACAGAACCACACAGAGAGAGACAGAGAGAGAAGAGAGAGAAGAGAGAGAGAATCAATTCGAATTCAAAGCTTTCAAAACATCAAGCAGCTTTTGACTGTCGGGCGCTGCTGTGGCTTCCCCTCTCACACAATGCTCCATCGACTCGATCAGGCTCGGCAGCTCCTTAAGCGCGTGCTCCTCGTGCACCGTCGGATGCGCCGCCCTGTTACCATCGCTGCGCACACTATTCAATGCATTGAAAAAGTCGTCCAAATTACCCAGTCGTGGGAGCACGTCAGCATACGCTTGGACTGCCCACTCCTGAAGGCCCGGCTTCCACTTGTAAAACAAGGTGTGGAAATCTTCTGTGTCTGCTGGACACCCCTTCTGCGGAACACGACCTCGGAAGCCATCGTCTTGCGCCACCTGTGCGGTGGCCCAGTCCATGTACTTGAACAGCAGACGAAGCCGGTGGATGTCATCGTCACACGGCCATGAACAAGAGTCACTCGGCCAAAAGCGCTCGCCCACGATTGTGGCGAGCTTGATGATGATTTGGCGCTTCAAGATGGGATACTTCAGCGTTTGCCGGATCGTTTGAAGCTCCGCCTGCACCTCCTTGTTGACGGCTTGTTGTTCCTTGAGCTCGTCCCGCACCTCCTCGATCTGTCGCGCGTGTTTGGTTTCCATTTCTTGCAACTTACCGAGCATCTCGGCTCGAAAGGCAGCAGCAAACGGAAACTTGTCCAGCTCGCCTTCAATCAAATTCAGGCGATTCTCAGACCCGTCCATTTGAGCAAGGGCCTCTTTGACCTTGGACATTCTGCTCCAAGCATTCGTGTCACCGCTGGCGTCTGTCAAGGCGTGTTTAACACCAGACAACACCTGGTGCTCATTCCTCGGCTTCGAGCGCACGTTCTCGGATTTATTCTTGTAGGGCTCGTAGAGCGCGTGCTGCTTCTCCTCCAGCTCGCTACACTTGGCATCTACAACAAAGGCACGATCGGTGAGGTCTGCCCACTAAATGGCCCGTGCTGCAGATACAAAGCTGTTCAACTTACCAAGGTCGCGACACTTGACGAGGTGGGGAGTATCATCCCACAAAGTCATGTTGTTGGTCTGAGGACACCACGGCTCACAAACACACCGGGAGCAGCTTTTCAGCCCCGATTGCAAGAGGAGAGGTGAATGGAAGGAAAATGCAGTAACCCGTAAAAGAATGGCCACGTTCGGTTCCAAAGCACGAGGAAGCCCTCGGGAACGGGCGGACGCAAAAAGGCGACAAAGGAAACACCAAAAAAGGAACAGAGACAAAGAAAAGAGTAAACCAAACGAAAAATAAAAAATAAAAAACCTTCAAGAGGCTTGTTCTTGGCAAAAAGGTTCCCGTGACCGTGGCGGCCCGAAGAGAGCGTCAACAAGGCAGCACAAAAGGCAAATCGAGAAGAGATGGCAGTGTGGTGGGATGGCACAACAGAAACACAACGAGCCGCTCCCCAAACGCCTCACAGACTACCGAAGCGACCGAGTTCCAAAAGAACATCGAGTGAGGGGAAAAGAAAAAAGAAAAAAAAGAGAGAACGAGGAAGGGTCGAGAACCGGGCGCAACCCCGTTGAAGGTGCCATGGCCTTGGGCGCCCCCTACATTCTGTATTGGGAAGTGTACGGCAACGAGAGCTGATCAAGTCATTCTCAAGCACAGAGACCATCTCCCCCACCCGAGGCGGATCGTCCGGTCGCTGCACCCCAGCCAGCGGACCGGTCTTTAATGCATCGGCCCTTCGAGGTACGGCTTTCCTCTTGGCCCTGACCACCTCCCCACCTCCCCTCCTCCCATCCCTTGCCCTGCCCTGCCCTGCTCCAACGTAAACAACAGACACGCACACAACAAACAAGCACAGGTGGCTCTTGGTGGCGAGGCAACACCCTTCTCAACAGTCCTTCATCATCGCCCCATCTCCACAGGCTTTTGGCTCCGGTCACCCGACGCCACAGCGGCGTGGGCGTGGACCTATCTACAAGCCTGGTTCGAATGATCGGGCCCCGACAAAACTCCGCCCAAGTTGTAACCACACTCACACATCAATTCAGTCGTGCCTTTAAACCCCTTAAAAGTCACCCCTCCCACTCACCTAGCTCTCCTCCGGCGTGGCAGACAACCAGCAGGCTTGACACCTGGCCCACTCAGAGCCTCAATGCAAATACCAACAGTACCTCTCAAACCATCTACGCGACACCCCCATGGCTCGCCAAAGCCGCCTCCTTGGCCACTGTCTCAGGGTCATAGCAACACCTGACGCAGTACCCGCGAAAGAACAAGGTGGCCGCGAAATATAGCACAAAGCACCCAGATGCTCCCCACGCCAACACTTGAAACAGCTACAGGTCATTAAAGTACAGCAGAGAGTCACGGCCCAGGTCGCAGCCGCGCACACGCGCATCAACATGAGAGCTAAAACAAACAAAGGCAACGCCGAGCTCTCCAACCACAGATAACTGACAGCCGCCAAACTCACAATCTCAATCTCAATGCCATACAGGCGCTCAATGGAGAAGGGCAAGGCCAACAGATAGAGCAGAATGGCAAGGTAGATGGCCATGCTAGGCATCAACAACATCGGCCCGAGACGCTTGAAAAAAAGCCCAATGTGCCTAGCACCATCAACCACGTTGTCCCACCCATGCATTACGGCATGAAGCACAAGAAAAGGAGAGCAAACGCCCACAACAACAACAACAACGACAACAACGACAACGCCTGTTCCGCCGATGCACATTGCACCCAGCCTTCTTGGTTGTCTCAACTTACGTCAGTGGGATGAGGGAAATATTCATCTGGTACACTGTCGCCAGAAAGGTGGCCGCCAAGCTGCAGCAAAGCGACGAAAAGATACAGACGACATACATGCGCGAAAACTCCAGCGAGATGGCGCTTCCAGTGCCAGATGGTGCCAACCCCTAGCAACCCACACAGGTACCGTGGGGTTTAGCTGTAATGTTCCCAATGTCATTCCCAGTGCCCTGCCGCCTCCCTGCCGCCTCCCTGCCAACCAAGGAAGCACTTGCCTTTTGCAGGGTCAGAAACGAGACGCCTGCCAGCAGGGCTCCAACAAAAGAAATGCCCGACCAGACGCCGTCCACGCGGTCATAGAGGGCGCTGGGCTCGTCGGCATTGTACGTGAGCTGCCATCGCCACGCCTGTACGTAGCGAATCCAGTGCATGGGCCGCCAGCACGACCCGAAGCAACAACCCGGCTCGGGCACGCCGCGCACATGTACGACTTGAGAGCCCGTTGCTGCTGCACATGTATTGAACGAGTACAAGGTACATCGTTAAAAACTTTAGCACCGCTCTTCCAGAAAGCACCAGCATACACCTTGGAATGTCACGGGCTCAAAGCAGGAACTACACACCGTCGCTTGTTTGGCAAGCCAAAGCTTCACGCACTACGCCCGAGGTCGCGTGCTCAACAAAATATAGTGCCAAGAAGTAAAGAGCAGCAAAACCAATGGCAATGCCCCTCGTAGCCCAGGGAATTCCCACATCCTCGTAGACCACCTAACAAGACACGATTCGTCATTGACAAATGCACCCAAATTGTACCTCGACGCATGGTCACAATGCTCGTGGTGCATACCTCAACGAAAACACACCAGCTGGTCACGGCAGCTAGCACACCTAAGCCCATCAGGACGGCAGGGAAATACAGCACGTGGCGCAGCTTGAAGACAAACATTTTAAAGCTCTCCAAGGGCACAATAGCCATGACGGCTGACAGCAGGGTACTGATACCCAGAGCCAAAAAGTTGACGACCACCGATGCCAGGCCAAAGTAGGCATAAAGCTGAACTCGAGTGCTATTCGAGGCCTGTGGCTCGCACATCGGAGACAAGCAAGATGAGATATACAACCTCCATGCTCCCACGCCACCCTAAGGAACGACTTACCCGCGCCAGTTGCACTCCTGAATCCGTGACTGCACTGGTATCCATGGCCTCTTCAGGGAGCTGCGTTTTCATACCAAAACAAATGCCGGCTGATTCACACAAAACAAATCGAGGCTATCACGACGACCACGGCCTTGCTCACTGACCTCGCGCAGTAGGTCGAAATTGATGGCAGCCACCAGTGTTGCCACAACTGAGAGGCTGTTATAGGTTGAGCGTAGCGAGACAAAGGCCTGTCGGTCTGACGTGTTAGTACGCGCCAGAAGCGCAAATAGATAGCCGCCTGTCATCCATTGCAAGACTGTCTTTGAGGCGTGGTGATCGCGACACAAATTCTGTGTCCAGAGTGATCGGACGAATGAGATATCGGCGCGCCCCACTTTTGTCCCCTTCGTCGCCCGGGGCCTCAGACGAGCCAGCGACTCGTGGCTGGTGCGCACCTTGAGGAGATGGTTCTGATGCGACTCTCGAGGAATCGCTTGCACGATGTATCCACGATAGAAGACCATCAGCAAGCTCGCTCCACCAATCATTCCCAACGCAGCCCATGCCATTTGACGCTAGCAAAGAATTATTAGTATCGAGAAGTGCAGCGCGGGAAGATGAGGACGGACAAAGCCCGTGCTGGTAGCATCTCATCGCCTTATGACAACGGCGATGCGCAGCGAAGAGAGTGCACAGCGATGTAGAACAAAAGGTCAACCAGCCTCGGTGCCGCCTCTTGCTCCACCTCACTCAAAACACTGACAGTCTCGCCCGAACGAAACTGATACCTCATAGAGGATGAAAATGATGAGACTCAAGGAGCCCGCAAGGGAGGCAATACCCAAGACAAGCAGGAGATTCGGTAAAAACATAAGGTTGATCTTGGTCAGCAACCAGGACTTGAGTGCAGATTCGGGAACGGTGGCCAGAACGAAGGTCATCACAATCGAGGTGAACGTAGATGCCAGGTTGGCAAACAGGGAGATCAATGCCACCGTCAAAAACGGTGACAGAAGATGGCTGTCGGTATTGTACTCGGCAAAAGTCTAGATTATGGAGATTAGACGCAAGGAAATGCTGTGAACTTCACGCGTGGGAGCATAGCAGACTTTTCAACCCAGCCCTGCCACCAACTTGAAGGAGGACAAAGGAAATGAGCGACACGAGTGCAGAGATGGTGGCCGTGTTGTTAAACATGTTTGACGTTCGTCGAAACAGACGTGAAGCACGGACGCCACTGTGAATGGTCTTCTCCCAAAACCATCCAAGAGTCAGAAAATTGAGTCGATGCTTGCGTTGCCGATCTGAAGCCAAGGGCAACCCGTCTTTGAGAACAATCGTAGCAGCATCGACGGATATGCTCAAACCTGTCTACACTGCCTCTACCAAGTTGTGCAAAAGCTACCTTGACGAGAAGCGAAGGCAAAGTTGGATATGACAGCAATAGCCACGAGCGCAACGACAAGCGCGATCAAGGCCAGCGTTAATCGCCACTCGGAGGTGGCCGTACCATGGATCACGGTCACCATGTTTGGCAAGGCAACCAAAAAGCAAATCAAGCCTGACGCAGTAAATCGAGCAGGTGGTGTCAGACGGGCCTTGGACATGATCGCACAGCATGTGGCGGCAGGGTACCTCATTTCAATGAAAATGGCAATGCACGCACCCAAGATGGACAGGACAAAAGGCAACCCAGCGACAGAGTGATACCGCAGCAACATGCGCTGGGCACCGTCTTTGCCGTGATAAAAGAGCGAGGCGATGAGAAGAAGCGTGGATGAAAGGACGGCATACATGTTAAGGGCTACTGAAAGGTAGAGGCTGGTGGCGTAGATGAGCATCACTGAGTATTCTGTGCTGTCGCCGGTTGCAGATGAAGGACGCAGCCAGAGGCCTTCAAAGCTGATGCCTCCGATGATGGAGCTCACAATCGAGGCTGTGATCCTGAGAGGTGGTGGGGTGACCAGAGCAATCAGCGATGAATCAGAAAGAAAGGCGACATTGTCGCGTTAACGGCGTCAAATTCGTAAGATTGAAGCACCACACCAGAGTTCACGCATCCGTTCTGCCATGTGGCTTGAAGGGGTCCTAGAGAGCATTCAGACACGCCCATCCGGCCAGTGGAAACAAATGAGAAAACAGACGAAAACACGGGCTGTCTCTGGCAGACCAGCGTGAACCTGAACCTTGCTGCACACCTGGACTCGGCGAGGTGTAGAAAAGCTTTTGAAAAAGTGAACAAGCCAATAGTCCAGCGCAAAAGGGTGCTCACGCAACCTAGTACACATGCCCGTCTTGAGCAAGAAGCAGATGCTGTCGCTTGAACAACAGGGGCGAGGCACATACCGTGTGGCTTTGGTGTGGCGTCTGTATTTGGCTTGGTGAGGAGCACATAGAGCAGGGCTGGTCCAAAGAGAGCAAGCGAAACCACGAGACCGCCAACTGCGATGCGATACACCTTGCTCAAGCCACAGATCAGATGTGAGAAAACCATGCATTATGATGTTCTTCGTGTGGCCTGACATCGGCCTTGGTATACACCCGATGAAGTCGGAACAAGAAGCATAATACCCGATGCGTTATACGTCACATTCTGACACACACGCGCGCGTGCGCGCGTGTGTGTGTCGCCCAGCTCCCTCAAGAACTAACCTCGAGAGTATCACCGTAAGTTATGAAGCATAGGGAAATGAATGCACCCGTCAACAATTCAAAGCCAACGAGCAAGAGGATGGCTGGTAGAGCAATGATGTACAGCGTCTGAGTTGAGAGGCCCAAACGGCCATGATGAGATCCCCCAGTGCAATGTCAATACACAGCTGCACGAAACCCGCACACACCTTGCGTAGGGTGTAGCGCACAGAGCCCTTGGGAACCAACAACAAATTGGCCATTTGCAAGAGTGCCACTACCACTGCGAAGCAAGATGCATAGATGTGCTGAGCAAGGACGTATGGAACCAACGGTCGGCACCAGATCTTACCGGCCAAAAAGTTGACGCCAAAACTCAGCGAAAAGACGAGGCCATATCGAAGGATGTACTCGTTATCTTCTGAGCTGGAGTCAGCAAAGGTTGGATACTCCAAGATTCCCACCTGAATGCGTGAAGCATGGACGTTAGGCTTTGAACTTGGTGGACGGCGAGGTCCTTCCAGCAGACTCATCATGCACCTGAGAGATGGCGGCGCAAAAGGTGGCAACCACGGCCAAGTCGGACCAAAACGCAAGAAATCGCTTATGTAGGGCGCTCTCGGACAGGCTAAAGCAGCGATCGGCCAAAGTGGCAAAGCGTAGACTGGTCAGAACGGCATGCCCCATTTTTTGACGAAGCAGGCGCGTTTTAGCGGCCCCATGACATACCGCGAGTTGATGAGTTGTCGGAAGTATTGGGCAAAAAAGATGGCTTCAAACATGCCACAGACGCACCCGACATGCGTCTGCGATGAAGCAAGCGCTCGCATGAGCCTGGTCACCCCAAGTTCCCACTTCAGGTGCTCAGATGAAAACGCAAGCATACCGAGTCTGAAGTGTTTTCAGCGACATGATGATCAGCTTCTTCGTCCTCACTACTTTCGGGGTCTTCAGAAGCAGGCGCTAGGGCGTCCCTTGCTGCCTCAGGAGCGGCATGCTCCTGGGCCACGTCTGGGGCACCGGCACGACCGGTCGAGCGCTTGCTGAAAATCTTCTGGTTGATGACGTGGTCATCATCCTCATCTGCGTTGGTCTGGGCCACCAAGACGTGCGCGGTAGTCTGCTCTTGGCTGGCATCATCAATCGAAGTTACATGCACGTTTCGCGGCGTGGCCAGATCATACGCCCCCGCACGGGATGTCGGTTGTGTCGCAATCGTGGGCGTCAACCGCTCAGACGAGCTCAGCTCGAGAGAAAAATCCAAAGTTGTCGTCGGTTCCCCAGGTTGGCGACTAGAACGAGGCATGATGTCGCTCGCCAATCCGATCCCAGCCAACCCCCGTCGCGCCGAACCACCTGCAGAGCGATATGACAAGCACAGCTCCCAGCTCAGCAGGACTTACAAAGTGAGAGAGAGAGAGAGAGAGAGAGAGAGAGAGAGAGAGAGAGAGAGAGAGAGAGAATGTGTGTGTGTGTGTGTTCTGCTTGAAACAGCAACGAGCAAAGATTTCGCTTAAATTTTAATTTTTATGAATTTCGCTCAAGTTTTGATTTATGCATGCCTGTTGGTGGATCGTGAGCGCCTGTGTGTTCTGGTGTGCTGGCCTGCAATGTTTCCCACTAGTCACCAGGGTCTTGAGATGATGCAGCAGAAGAGCTCGGCATCGTCCGGGCCAAAAGCAGATGGAACAGGGCCCAGATACGGTTACAACAAGGTACCATCAACAAGTGGTCGGATTTGTTGTTGTTGAGCTCCAAACCTTGAGTTGCTAACTTGCTTGCTTTCAGGCTACATTAAATTTTCTATCAACACTTTCTGTCGCACGCGCAGCATGCATCTCACAATATTATTCTACAATCAAGAGGGGAGGTCGCTTGGAAAGCGATAACAACGTCCCACAGCGACGACGAGCCGAGAATCGCAAGCCTCCTCAGGCCTTGACTGGGTACTGCAAGTTCGTAGGTGCTCCATACACCACGGTGGCAGCTCCATTGAGGTATGGAAGTGTGCACATGGGTCGAGCTTGCGCCGTGGCAGCGGCAACATCAAGGGTGGACTGCCCCTTGGGCGTCGCGAAGCTCTGTGGTGCCCATGACAACAAATGTATCCAGACCATAAAATGGAAGTGAGGAGTGAGCCCTTGCGAAGAGACAGTGCCCTTCCACCACAGCAGGGCAACAGTGGATGGGTGCGCGCGAACAGCCAGAGCCGGGAACAGAAACCGCGCAATCATCTCACCTCCAGCAGATGGCGGGTGACCATGTCAATGTCTCGGTCTGTCACGTCCCAAAGGGTGCCCACGGCACAAGGCGCTCCGCTCAGAAGGCAATCCACAATCATGCCCGTGGGCTCAAATTCGCCTTGTTCACGCAAGAGCCCAGAGCTACAGCCCATGAGCAAAGCTGCAGCACGTCCCGTCGCACGCCGCACCGTCTTGGTCTAGCCACGTGCACAATGCTTGTGATCCATGCGTCATCAACAGCCCCCAATCACCACAGAAAAAATAGCCACACGTACCTTCACATATTTGGAGCCGGCTCCATGCCCACAATACAAGAACAGGTCGGCTTGTTCCAAGCTTGTAATCATCTATTTGTCAGCATACAACCGGACTTGTTCCGTGAGGGGCCTTCGAAATAAAAAGCGAAATGGCAGCGGGCCGCGCACATCACGATTGTATGTATAGACTCGGGCATACCTCCTCGGAGGTGGGCAGACGATCGTGGATACCCTGCCAAAACTTGGCTTCACAAAGCGGAAGAATGCGGTCTGGAAGGCGATGGGCGGAACAGGACGTGGCAGGTGAAGCCAGCTTGACGAAGAAGCCAAGCGTCGCCAGGCGCGGTGGTCAAGCGAATAAGACAAGCTCGTGCACCAACCACGAGTGTTTTTGAGATCTCCGGCTGGGTTGATTACGTAAGATGCGCGCGACACTTGGATATTGTGTTGCGTGCTTTGAGCCAGAAGGTTCCACGATGGTTGTCGATACACGGTGTGCGCCCTCAGGCTTGGCATCGACTCCCACGGCAGTGACTGGCCGTCTGTATGCGGGTCGCGGCACGCGCACGGTGAGCAACACTACGTGCATCAACTGACTGGCGATGCGTCTTAGTCGGAGCCGATGCGTACCTCGATCTAGCAAGAGAGACACTGGAGCTCGCCGCAGCTTGCGCGAGGTGGCCAAGCTGCCGCTGCCGCAATGGGACGCACTGTCGCCTGGCTTGCAACCTTCCTCAAGTCCACCACCTGCGTCACCAAGCACCCCGGCTCCAAAGCGACGGCGCTGGCGTGCATGTGGTCGAGCTGAGGGTGGCAAACGGCTTCGAGCTCGGCCCGCCATGGGCGTTGCCATAACGGCAACGTCTCGATCAACATCTTTGTCTTCATCATATCCTGCACGCTCAGTGCTGTTGTCACTCCCGCTTGTGATTGTCACGTGCGTATCCGCATCCACCGGTAGCTAATAAGCAGACGCGGGTCAGCCCATGAGTCATTCACCATCATGCACCCCCTTGAGCCAGCGACATGCTCACCTCAGACCAAGCTGTGGCCACGTTGTGCACCGCCTCTGAGACGACGTCAACGATCAGTTCTTCATCAGTCCCGTCCAAGTCGCCAAACAAGTCTTGCACAGCTTGAGAAAGATCCATGTACATTTTGGGAAATGCATCAGCCAGGCCTTCCACCAAGCTGGCCAAAAGCTTCTCTTGGGTTGGCAACAGCGGTCCATGCTTGGTGGTTGCGATTTCCTGTGCGCAGCGTTCCAGTTCTTTCTGCACAATTGCGCGAGCAGCTGGCGCCACAAGTGGGCCCAGAATGAGGCCTCGCCACAGGCCCAGCACATCAGCTTCGAGCTGGCGACAAAAAGCTTGGACTTCATTGTCTAGAGCTCGTCGTTGCCGCCACCATTCCACTTTGTCGTTGTCTGTCTGAGTGGGTAGCTTGATGGAGGCCGTATTGGCCTCGCGCAGCTTTTGCATGCGACCTTGCAGCTCTGCCAAAACGTGACTTTCCTTGCCCAAGCGCAGCAGCACTGGTCCGTCCACGTCTAATCGGGAGATCACGATATCGTATTTACAAGCAAAATCTTGAGATCCCTGCACACCCACGACCACTCCGCTCGTGTTTGACGCTGCCTCTCTCAGACTTTGTTGCAGATCGCGTAGTAGTTGCACGCTAGTTTGGGTGGTATTCCTATTGCATCGGTACGTGAGGGGCGGCGAATCAGGGCGTGCAGGATTCATGTCAAGGCCAGTCTTACCAGCGATCTAGCTCTTGCATTTGTCGTTGAGTAGTCACGCCCAGAGAGGCATAGTGATGGAGAAGTGCCTTTTCCGGCGCCTGGACGCCATAGGCACGGGTCAAGGCAGCATGGCACCGTCGAGCTTCAGTTGCAGCCAGGTGATTGTCGTGGGCCAAGATTCGCTCAAGTTCGATTGTCCAGGCTGACAAAGACGTTGGGAGGCAAGGTGGGGAGGTGGACGGCGAATCCTTGTTTGCTTCCGACACTTGAGGTAGGGTGGGCGGGGTCTCGGTAGCATAGTGGCTCTCCAGACGCTCAATCAGCTCTGCCTTGCGTCCTGACACGGGCAAGCCGAGAGCTCGGAGCCGATCTTTCAGCTCAAGTACTTTGAGTCCAGCCCAATCCGTTTGTACACCATTATTATCAGCACTGCACGGGTACGTTGCTTCATCTGCCGTCAAAGTTGCAGCGTCGAGTTGAGCTGCAAGGTCATCAACCGCCCGCTCAACTGGAGCCAATGGTGGCGCCATACTGGCTGCACCTTTGTGATGTCGCCAAGCGCGTGCTACGTTGTCTTCGTCCGCAGTCAGTACAGCTGCAACGCGAAAGCCCAAGCCAGGTTCTGCGACCCATGACTCTGCTTCGAGCAATGGCGGTGCTGGTGAGCTGTCCACCAGCATCAAGAGATTGCGCAGATCAGCTGATAGACAGGAGTCGGCGGCAAGGGCAGGAACGTTGAGCAGCTCCCCAACACGGCGTAGTTCGCAATGAAAGGCACGCTCTTCTTCAGCGGCATGGTGGGCCATATCTCGCGCGCCGCTCAAGTTTCCATTGACTAAGGCTACATAAGCTTTGGTGTAATACCACCGACCAGCGAGATACCGGTTCCTTGCAATTGCCGCCTCGGCCGTAGCCAACTGCGCTTCGGCATCGGCGACGTGGTGAAGTTGAGCCAGAAGCAATGCCAAGCGTAGCTGGGCTAACGCTTTGAGGTCAAGACTGTGAAGGCTATTGGCGTACTCAATCGCTCGCTCAAGGTATACCTGAGCGTCGCGAGGCAGACCTTGGTGTTGTGCAAAATTTGCCGTGTCCAAGAGAGAAAAGATGAACTGGAGAAGTAAAGACGTCCGGGCTGGGTCCGCCACCGCTACGGTGCGTTCGAGCTCGGCCGTAAAGCGTGCAGCAAGGCGTTTGCCCACTGCCAGTGCTTCACCCGAAGCTCCGCGGTGGTAGTGCGCCCAGGCAATGGCTGCGTCCGTTTTCCAATAGTCCGATGGTGCTTCGGCTTTGAGTTGCTCTCGCAGCGTCTCTAAGCGGGCTTGAATGTTTTCCGCATCAGCGGACGTCTCATGGGCGGTATGAAGGCGCAGTGCCAAGGCACGCAGCTGAGCATCCACTGGGTCATCAACTCCAACTTCAGCAGCTGCCAACAGCATGTCCAGGGTCTGTGCCCGGCCAACCCGCAGCAACACTTCTCCGAGCTCTGCATGGACGGCGAGGTGGGCATTGCTGTTGCTGCTTCTATTTTGAGGGATGGCCCCTTGAATGCGCGCGATGCTCCAACATACAACCATCTGATCGGGAAACAGAGCATGAAGCAGTTCCATGGGGTGATTTGGTGAATTTACAGAGGGCCCATAAAATTCCAACGAGCGCATATTTGCGGTGCACGAGAAGGCTTAGTCTTACCTGATGCAAGGGGAGAACCAATTTTTTGAGGTGTACAGCCGCCCATTCGAGCACACTGCGAATCAACTCTGCAAGGGCAGCGTTAAACTCGGTTTCAGCCCTACAAATGAGATGGCAAAACACCAATTCAAAGGGACGAATCATGTAAAGCTCTGCTGTTATGCTGAAATAGCGCACAGCTCAGTCAAGACCTTTGCAAGGAGGAGTGCAAAGGTTAACGTACAGCAGCTGGTCCAAGGCATGCAGGTGCGTCAATAATGTAGCAGGGTCAGCCGTGGTGTCTTCTTGGTGCTTCATCGTGCCATCTACAATCGCATGCAGAATCGCTAGCAGAGATGTTGGCGTTGATCTTGGGCTTTTCAGGCCATCCAAGCTCGGCTGAAGACGTTTGCGATCAAGGCCGGCTGGCAGAGCAAGGACCAGGCGGCTTAAGAGGTCCACGTCACTTCCCGAGGCCGTGAAGACCAAAGCCACTAGCTCGGGCACGACTGTGCCGCGAGTGATAAGCGAGCGATGCGAGGCATGTAGACATTTGAATGTCTCTTCGATGTCCTCTGTGGGTACAACCGCGCGAAGCACGTCTTGTGGGGCAGTAAGATCATTGGTTTTGTCAGGAGACGCTGTGTGGCTTGTTGATAAGCACTGCAAATAGCAGACTATAGCGTCAGCGCGATAGGCGGTGTCCGTCATGTGAGGCGTAAGCCAGCGCAGGGCCACTGCCACCAATTGTTCTCCGACAAGCAAATCTGACGCCCGTGTGGCCAGTTTGGTGGCTTGTTGCAGGAGCTGAAGGCGAGCAGTGCGCCGATCCGAAGTGGCCTGGCCGTCAGCATGGGCCAGCAACAGGGCCAGAGTTCCGAAAGCTATGGCACGGCTACTGTCTTTGTTGCTGAGTGCAGCCACTCCTTGGTTGTAAGTTTGGACATCAGCCACGTGCAAGAGGCCGCTGTAGCGCGCGGCTAATGCCTATTTGACGATGGGGGCGGGGTTGATGTCAATCGCGCACACAGGCGGCCAAATGGGCATTGGTGCATTTGTGGGTGGAGTCGGGACACAAGAGGAGCAGGCAGCAGACCTTGCTAGTGTGAAACCGAGCAAGTGCCGAAAGACACGAGAGAATGCCCGGAAAGGGGGTTGCAGGGTTCGTCACGCCCCACGTGGCTAGTGTGGCCTAACGATGTGGCGACACAAGCCAAAATGAGCGCTGATAAAGGCTGGTCCAAGAGCGTCGCACGACTTACCATGGCAGCCCAGGCTTCGGGGCTGACAAGTTGACCATCGGCTTGTCCAGTCTTTTGGAACATCGCCACGATGGCTGTGACAACGTCTTTGGGACAAGGCCTGCCGCTTCCTGCAAGCCAAGCGAAGCGTCAAGTCGATGTGTGAACTGACAGGCATAAGCGATGTGAACAGCGCAATCACATGAACTGGATGCCCAACACGTACTCAGTTGTGCGGCAGCGTATGTGGCGACATAATTGGCTAGAGGTGGGCCTGCGTTGGTTTGAGAGAAAGCCAAATCAGTGGTGTGAGGTACAGGTTCTGTACTCATGGGATTTTAACAAAGCGACGGGTATGAAAGGTCATCATCGCAGCGAAATTGCAGCAAGGGCACTATCACGATATGCGCCATCATTGCAATCATGACATACCAAACCAGGAGGGTGACCAAGAGCTGGGGATGGACTGAGGTGCCTCGCCCGCAACGCACAGGCGAACCAACCAGCACACCCACTGCACGCGAGCATCCTGCTGCGGCAGGCGGTTGAGAAGCGCGAGCGTTGCCTCTTTGGCTTGCAAACGGGCTAAGAAGCAGGCTCCAATTTCTAGCCGACCAGGTGAGGCTGGCCTCAGGGCCGGGTGGGCGAGAAAGTGCTGCACAGCTTGCTCAATGGCGACCCTAGCCGTGTTGTCTGCCTTGAGGATGGTCTGCAGTCCTGCTTCGTTGAGCTTATCAAGGTCAAAGCCAGCTTCAACCTTATGATCGTTGACCAGAAATTGTAGTTGAAGGAGTACCACGGCGGCACTGGGCGCTGCAGCTTTGATGGTGACCATGACCAATTCTCGCAGGGCCTTGATGAGAGCTGGGACGATGCGATGGGTGCGGAGTGCCTCCCAGTCGAACAGGTGAAGGCGTGCACAGGCGTCTTGCACAGAAGTGCCGTGACAGAAGGTTTGGCACCGAGCGTAGCACTGCATGCAGCGCAGAGCAACGTCCAAAACTAGGTCTACGGAAACGGAAAGGCAGGCGTTTTCTTGCTGACTGGACGGCGAGCCCGAGCCTTGAGTTGGATTTGGCTCGCATCGCTGAAGAAGTAGGCCGTACAATTTGCCTGCCAGGTCGTAGCGCTGTGCTTGGAGAGCGCCTGCGGCAACTTTCATGACCAAGCCAGCCCGCGCGTCACTTTTAAAGCTGGGCTGCTCGAGTAAACTGGTCAAAAATTGTATGGCCTGCGCCTGAGCGGCATCTGGAAGCGCCTTGGGCGTCGAAGTGGCCAAGGCCGCTACTATCTTCGTGGCCGCAGCCCATTGCTTGGTGGCGTCGAGTTGTTGGTGAGCCTAGGGGAAACGGTTGAAAGCAAGAGCATCAATGACGGTTGATTGCGCCCCTGCGGAACAACGCAGCGCGTGAGCTGTCTTTTTACCTCGAGAGCCAGGCGAAAGGCCCCGTCGTCGTTGGCCTGCAGCGCAGCCAACACCGCCATTATTGGCGCGTCGGTGCAGATTTGGCTTTCAACAAGTGTTGACGCTTCGCTCATCAAAAGCCACCCAAGGTACCGTGGCGAACCAGTCCAGACGGGGCGCGTTGGTGCGCGGCTTCTGGTTAAATGACCGGACAGGAACGAGATTTTCCCATCAAGACTGTTCCTTCCTTGATGCTCGATTTGAATATTTGGCGGGAACTCAAACGCGTCAAATGCGAAAAAAACATGATGCGAAAAATACAGCTCAATCAATTCAATAGAAACATCGTATCTGACAATTTTATCTGACATCAGAGTGCGTTTTCTTCCATGGCGGCACGAGCGACGCCGCTGGGGAGGCGCTGAAGCTGGGTGTAAATGTCAAACGCAATGGCCTGGCGGCTGTTCACGTGGGTTTCCAGCGTGTGCCGGCAGGCAAAGTCAAACTTCATATCTCGTGCGCGGAGCCAGGGGAGAATAATGTCACCGTAGAGCGAATAGAGTGCGGTCATGGGCGGCACAGCCGCCAGCTGCTCAGCAGCAGACAAGGGTGCGCAGCGAGCACGTTCGCGTTGGGTGGCATAAGGTCCAGTGTTGCTGGCGGTATCGGCCTCAGCCTCACGCTGGTCTGCCGGTTGCGGGGGTGACGCCAGTGCCGCCCAACCCTGCCAGGCTCGCTCGGTGCTGAGAAGGAACCGTCGCACCTCGGCACAGCTGCACGCCGATGCACTCTTGGCTGGGGCAAGCTGTCGACCCTCATTCGGTTCTGGAGTACGTGACCGCAGCTCCTCGGACAAGGCCGCGGCCTCGTGTCCTCCGCAGCGACAGGGAGTTAGTGGGCGCCCGTCTGCATCATGGCCGTGGTACAGCTGAGGTGCCAATCGCGCAAGCCAGGGCAAGCGCGTCCAAGGAATTTGGGCAAAGTCGTGGTGTTCGACGTGTAGTAGTTCATTGACGGTGAGCCAATTGTACATGGTCGACCTGGTGGAGGCAGGATAGCAAATGTTGAGCCCACGACAGAGAAAAATTTGGTGGTGCGGGGGGCAGCAGATCAGCGGCAAGCCAGGAGGACAAGCAGGGCATGGGGTCATGACACCAACCCGTAGTAACTCAACGAGGGTTGAGCGGTGTATTGGTAGATTGGAAGCGCTCGCTGAGCCACATGGCGCCAAAGGGCACGGTGCTCGCCCGGGCACAGAATGTCACCGTCCAGGCTCGGGGGTGATTCGCACACGTGCTGTGTTACCCAAAACGCAAGCAGAGGGTGTCCGAGAAAACCCATGGAGAAGGCGGTGGAGAGTACCAAATAAACCAAGGCCTGGGAACCCGCCTGTTGCCAAGCCAGTCGATAAGCCACGGCGGTGGCGGCTAGGTCAACGGCTGCGTAGACGACCTCGCGCTGGTTAAGAGCGGGGTGGATGCAATACCACGTTAAGAGGGACCCAAAGTAAATGACGGGGAGGGCTAGGGCCACGGCCGAAGCCCACAACACCGAGCCGACCGTCGAGTCGAGCCAGCGCACGGGGACCTTCTCCCAGGCCCAGAACAGGGCAGTGGCATCGTTGTCGTACGGCGTTCCCGCATGCTAGGCGTAGAGATTGTTCAGATGTCAGGTTAGCGGTGCACTTGGAGCAATGCGAGAAAGAAGAGGTTGGTCAGCACGCAGTGCAGAGAAGGACCTACCAAGTGATGCATGGCATGACCACCTTGATGATAATCTGAAAAGGCGGGGAAGATCAAGAGGCATGAGAGGGCCCACAAGACTGCTTTGTGGGACGTGAGGTGTTTGGAAAAGCGCGTCGTGTGCAAAACAAACAACAAGCACGACCAGAGCACGTCTTCAGCCTTGGAGGTCAGATAAAGGAGGCCGCGCAACGCACAGGCAAACCAGGGTATGGAGGTACACGCTGATCCAGCAAGTGCCACAATCTGAGGGTGATTGATGTCGCGGTGCGTGAGAAGGCGCACTCAAAGGGAGGCACCGAGGCCGAACCAAAGTTTATCATCAAGGCTGGGGTTGGAGGTTGGGGTCACGAACCGTTGTGGTCAAGGGGTGGCAGCACATGTGACTGATAAAGCCCGACCAGGTGGGAGGAAACGCATGGCGAGGCGCCCTTCGCTGATGACAGAGCTCATGGTTGAGGGCTTGGAGGTTAAAGGCCAGCAGACTCCCAGCAGTGCCGGCAGCGAGGGTCACGGCCCACCAAGGCAGGCCGTCGCATAGGCAGGCCAGGCCCAGATGAAGAGACGCCAAGCCCAGCCCCAAGATGGGCGTGGCGGGCTCAGGAGTAGCTAGGTTCCAAGACGCGACACAAGACCAAGCGATGTGAGGCGGACCGGCAGACCTCTGCCAACATGAAGCGGCGCGGGTCATCTTACCCAGGAGAGCCTTGATTTCCGGGTGGGTGCGCAAAAGCAAGGCCCGGCGAATTCCATGCCAATGAGCTGCCGATGGCTTATCCGTTTGCCACGCCAGCCAAGACTTGGCCACCTGGTTGGGTTGATAGGTCAGGACCATGATGCACTGTTGATGTCACGGGCACCTCCTCCACCGCACGGCATATTAGCCACACGTCTCCATTCAAACCCCCTAGACCCTCCGCAAGGAATTCCAAGCTGCCTGCTCGTTTTGTGCTTTTAAGCTTGACCAGGTGGTGCCAGCCAACGGAGCGAGTGCATTCACACCCGACGTCGCCAACGGCCGAGAAGCTCGCTGAGGTCGAGGCGAGAAGGGCACAAACACCTCGTCTGCTCGTATGTCCGTCGTCAACTGCTGAAAATGTATGCGTGTGCTCTTCTCTGCCTTCGAATCGTGCTTCTCAACACATCTCTGGATGTATGCATATTCTGGTTTATTCTCTCTCTTTACCTTGACATTATCACTTCTCATCTACACATCATTCCCATCTTCTCTGAATTTGAACGAACAAAGCCCTTCTTCTCTGATTTCGATTCCAGCCTCTCGTCTTACCTCTTCTTGAAGCTTCGTTGACATGTGAAACTTTATTTTATTTTTGTCAACAAGACGGACAAGGTCAGTCAGTCAGTGGCGCTGTGTGTGTGCGCGCGCAGGGTGTGTGGGCGTGGGGGGGGAGGGTCATGGCGGGGGCTTTGAGGGGCTGGGGATGGCTTTGGGGTGGTGAGCGTGGGCATCTGCTTTTCTGGGTGGTGTGATTGGGGCCTTTTATGAATGCAGTGGTTGTTGGTTGCTGATGTTTTTATTGTTGCAGCAGTGCGCGACAGCGCAGTGGCGGACCAAGAGCTGGAGCCATCGTCACCATGGCCAAGAAGAAAAAACAAAAGCAGTGCGTGTCTTGGGGTTCGAGACTCGATGGTGGGATGGGCATGTCATCTGGCTCATGTTGCACGGTGTGGTCTCGTCTGCCAGGCAGTGGGTGCCAGTGCCGGATACCCGCCAGCGCACCGTGTCTGAAGGTGGCTCATCGCGGTTCGTGTCCCAGCCCGCCACACCCCTGGTCACCGCCAAACGCGCTTGCCTGTTGCCCATGAGGATCCAGCGCTCAGCTCTCATAAGTCTCGGTGCTACGCAGTCGAGTCCAATTCAATCTGGCAGACAACCGCGTCCATCTAGTCACCCCCCCTCGCAATCGCAAAAAGTAGTACGTGCGCGCGCCCCTGACAGTTGTGCGCGCCGCTGTGTCCTAGAGTGACCACAGCTCAGCTCACATCCCACATGCCTCCCGACGTGGCAATACTATTAGCCGCTCCACTCCATCTACAAAGTTTGATGGGTCTGAGTTTGACGTGGATGGCTATGTCTGGCGCGAGCATGTGACGCTCAAGGTCTCTCGTAACCAGCGGCGCCAGCCTCTGGACGAGGAACGCCTCTCCGAGATTGAACAAGATTTGCAGGGCATTCTCAGTGACCGCGAGACCACCTCGGCCTCTGACCTAGACCCGGATGAAGAGCCTGTCAGCCCCTCATCGGCCCGGCATCTCCTCTCAGCCTCGGGCAAGGAGCGGGCTGTTCGAGGCATGGCGCTCCCACCTGATAACGACCCTGCATCCGACTCGAGTCCTCATCGTGACCCTTCCATCACGCCTGGTGCAGTTCAGAACAGTGATGGGGATAATTCTAGCACCACATCGGATCACCAGCATCTAAGCAAGAGCGCCCGCAAGAATCTTCGTCGCCACGAGCGCAAGCGCCAGCGACTCGAGGAACAGCGGGCCCGTCGAGCACAGCCCTTGCCTACAAAGGCCCAACCAGACACGCCCGGTCATCATCACGATGCCCAAAGCCCAATGATGCACCTCGACGCTGAGGCTGACGACGCTGGCGCTGAAGACAGCCATGATGAAGAGCAGCCTGCTGCTGGCGCCAACGACGCAAGTGACAACTTTACCGGCCGTGCCGAGACAGTTTCCAAGCGCGCAGCTGCAAGCCGTAACCGTCGCCGTGGGTCTGCCCCAGCCATCGACTCGGATGATGAAGAGGTCAATGAGGGCGCCCAGGATGAAGCCGCCACGGCCCACAAGGCAGCCACCAGCAGCCAGCCCGAGAGCAAAGACAAACAGAAGGGTGATGACGACGATGGTTCTCTGGTTCACAATGATGAGGGTGTGGTCGAGAAGCTACAACACTCCAGCGCCATGCTCAATGAAACACACCGTGTTGTTTCAGCTTCTAATACCCCAGATGATCCCGACGCTGCTGACAGCGGCACACAAAAGAAGAAGAAGAAGAAGAAGAAGAAGAAAAAGCCCAAGAACAAGAAACAGGTCGAGGACGAAGGCATGGGTGCCAACAGCAGTGAAGCCGCCTCAGAGCACGAGGAGCCAGTTTCGGGCATGCAGCTCAAGGCCACGCCATCCGCTCAAGCTCCCCAGTCTCACCTCCTTCATGAGGCCCCTCCCAAGTTTGACTATTACATCTCCTCCAGTCAGGCTACCGTCACATTCTATCTCAAGGGGATGGATGTCGCGGATTTGACTGTCACGGCGGATAGGCGCCGTGTCGCCCTTCGTTCAACCGCCGAAGCCTGGCAGTTGGGTCTGTGCTTGTCGGATATCGACGCCATCAACCCCGATAAGGTTCAACTGCGTGTCCGACCTCTCAAAGTGGAGCTGCTTTGTCCTTGGTTGCGAGACGCTGCCCAGCTGATGCCAGTTTTCTTGACCTCCAACGAAGTTGCGGAATTGTTTCAAGCAGCAGACGCCACGGCCCCACCGCCTGGCTCGTGCGAGACATTGAAGGCATCAAGCACTCCCAACAGGCCTTCCAAGGCCGATTCAACAAGCGTCGATGCGACCAAGAAGCCGAACAACAAACCCATGCCGAAGAAGATCTTCCCTCCCTCTGATGCCGAACTCGTGCCGTTTCTGCACCACGATTGGTAGGTTTAGCAGCCTCGACAATGATCATTGTCCGCATGCCGCCACAAGCCCAGAGATTTGTTCGCCCATCTCCTGGCCCCTTCTCGCGTTTGCTTTCTTTGGATTTCTCTGCGCTGGGATCAAGACGAGAGAAACTCCATGTCTTAGCCCTTTGTTTGTTGGTTCCTTGCCGAGCACAGGAGTGAAACAGCCGCACATTTGACCGTGACCATCATGGCCCACATCACATGGTTTGAGGTCAGTTGGCGGGAGAAGGTGGAAAAATATTATCCTTTCGCCATCGTGTTGCGTTCACGTGGGATCTTGGGCCAAAACCTGGTCAGGTGGACTTTGGCACGGACGCCTTTTGTGTCAAATTCAACAGCTCAGATCAGCGTCTCTGCGAAGACCCTGCTACCCTCTTGGCGTGGTACATTCCACTTTGCGGTACGTTTTCCTGCCATAGTCGCTTTTCAATTCCTCACGTTTGTGTCAAGTACTGAAACGTGGCGCCGACCTCGTTGTTCTTCATAGGCCAAATTGATCCCACTCAGTCTCAGGCAGCTCGTCAAGGCAATGGCGTGCGCCTGTGGCTGCAAAAGGTACGCGCTCGTGCAGCTCCGATGCTGTGCTGCATTTCCTTGCTTCCGTTTCTCACGCGCACATACCCTCTGGCATCACTGCGTTCACGAGAGCAGGCTCAGCCTGGCGTATGGCATGATTTGGAGCGTGACTCGAGCATCCCCCCACCAGCCAACGAAACCATGCCCGATCATCACTCCGCGGCTGCCGCATCACTTTCTGATGCTAGCGCCTCAGCCGACGAGGGGGCTCCTGCGATCGCGTCTGAGCTCTCCACACAAACAAAAATGACCACAGCACCGGTGGTCCCCGAAGCACCGAGTGAGGCTGTCTCTTCGACGTCAGACGAGGTCGCTCCAATGCTGGAGCCCATGTTCGTGGCGGATGGGGGCAAGAGCGGCCTGGTAAACATTGGGAACACTTGCTTCTTCAACGCCATCCTTCAGTGTCTAAGTCACATTCGCCCCTTGGGTGAGGTGTTTGGCAACGAGGCCAAACTTTCTTCCCTTCTCAACACCCACAGCAAAGCACTTGGGTCGCATGGGCTCATTGCACAGGCATACGGACGTCTGCTTCGCGACTTGTGGCAGCCCGCCCGCATGACGCCCGTCAGACCTGCTGACTTTAAGCGGGCCATTTCTCGCCGCAATCGCCGATTCATGGGCTACGATCAGCAAGATGCACCGGTATGTCGTGTGCGACGGTCTTGTCTCGCCATGATGGGTGGCTTCCCTTGGGGTCTACGGGTTGTCCTGGGTTGTCTTGATTTTTTTTAAACTTTCGCCACACTTTTGCAGGAATTTTTGGAATTCTTGCTGGATGAACTGCACGAAGACGTCAATCGGGTGGGAGAAAAACCCTATGTAGAGAATGAAGAGGCCGGCGACGAAGCGCAGCACGAGGCAAGCCCATGGCTTATTTGACGGGCCAAATAAGCTGTCATTTCTGGCACTTGCCCACGTTGCTAGTTGTTCTTGGTACACTCATTCGGAGAGACGTTCCTTGATCCGTAGGCCGCTGATCGGGCGTGGGCCAACTTTCATCGGCGGGATGACTCCCCAGTCGTCGACCTGTTTCAAGGCCAGCTCCGTTCTCGCGTGTGCTGCCCAACCTGCAGCAAAGTGTCGGTCATATTTGACCCTTTTCGGTCCGTCTGTGCGCATCAGCCATGACGCCAAAGCTGCAAGGCCTGCCAGGGGGATCTGCTGGTTTGGTGGCCATTACTGATTTCTGTGGGCACAGGTCTTTGGCCCTTCCTTTGCCCCGACCACGCACGCCTTGCACGGTCGTTGTCGTGCCGTTTGAGCCTCATCTTCCTCGGCGGCGTCTCCGCTGCTCTCTATCAGAAACGACCACGGTATCTCTTCTGTGGTTTTCCTCGCTATCCACCCTACATCCATTGCTTATGGTTTTTTACGCTTTTTTACGCTTGAACCGGTTGGCAGGCAAGTGAAATGATTGGGATGGTTGCACGTCAGCTTCAGCTCACGCCCAAGCAACTGGTGGTGTACCTCGTGCGGCGCTCAGTACCCGCGCGTCTTGAGGTCACCAGCCCACGTCCCATCGGTGCCCTGGGCAGCCAGGATGCCTTACTCGCCTTCCCAGTCCCTGACAATGTCACTTCATCGCCCAAAGAGCGCACAACCATCGCCAAAGCCGATCCGACATCTAATGCTCAGAATTCCCAGTCCTCCATGGGGCAGAGTTCGCTCATGATTCACGTGACACAGTATCGCAATGCCATGTGCTCGCTGCGTCGCTGTCAGCGCTGTCAGGGGGAGGCATCCGCAGGCACCTCGCTCAAGCGTTGTCAGCGTTGCAAGAGCGTGGCTTATTGCGGTCGAGTGAGTTTCCGCGGACATGGCGCATTACTCAACGGCCTCTCTTCGACTCTCACTTCTCATGACTTGTGCTTGCTGCTTTGCTGCGCCCAACTTGGCCTTGATTGCAGGAGTGCCAAACCAATGACTGGTCAACGCACTCTCGAGACTGTCGGCCATACAGTGCAACACCCTCACCCACAGGCATCCCTTTTACCATGGTCGTGCCAGCCATTTGTTCCTACGAAGAGCTGCTCCACAAAGCGCGCCAGCAAGCCATCAAGTTGGCTGTTCCGGAACTCAATCGAACCCGCACAGAGAAAGAATCGACCAAGACGGCCAGCCGCATGGGTCGCCTAAAAACCGCAATGACGGCTCTGAAGGACTTGGATGTCTCACTTATCCTAGCCGATCCAACGCGAGATGATCCCCAAGGATGCTTCAGCGAGGCGCATGCAAATGTCCCTCTTCACTTGACGGCCAATTTGTGCCTCAAGCTCGTGTGGCGCATCCCCCGGCTACAGGTCGCCGATGCTCTGGGCATGGCCAGTTTTATTGATGCTGTGGACGACCCGGCCCTTCAAACCAGCCAGGGACAGGAAGCCAGTGCCGCAGTGGGGCTGCACACCGCTTACGAGCTGCTTGCCAAGCCCGAGGTTCTGAGCCACGACAATCAATGGTACTGCAATCGCTGCAAGGAGCACCGTCAGGCCATTAAGGAGCTGGCTGTCTGGCGACTGCCACCCATTTTGGTTGTCCACTTTAAACGCTTTGCGCACGGCGCATCACGCCTCCGAGTCACCTCCGCGACCACACAAATTACCTACCCTGAACGCTTGCATCTGGATGACGCCAGCGGTCAGGGACGTGATTATCGACTGCGTGGCGTGGTGTGCCATCGTGGCACGCTGTATTACGGCCATTACGTAGCCTACGCCCGGCACGCGGTGACAGGCGACTGGTATTACTATGATGATGACACTTGTCGACGCGTAAGCGACGATAGCTATCTGGGGCATCGAGGCGCCTATTTGTTGTTCTACGAGGAGGATTGTAGTGTACAGAATTAGTTGTCAAGCACTTGCACCTGGTGCACTTTCGCAAGTGCAGATTCAGATGCTCATCCGCGTTGCGAGCATAAACAAAATGAGCCAGAGAGATTGGGGCGTGCCGATGGAAGACCCCACCTGACAATCGAGACTTGTCCCATGCGTTTATATGTTGGTGCATTGTAATTTTTGTCGGGAAGGACACTCGGGGCTCAACTTGCACAGGAAGGAGCAGGGAACAGTCAATTATTAAGAATGAAAAAAGAGAAAAAGAAAAAATGAAACCCCTTGAAGAGCGAGGAATCGGGCGGGGAAGACAATGCGGTCCATGATGTGCTGCAAAAGGCTCAGAGTCTGTCGAGAATTCGAATACTAGTTTGAATCTGCGATGCGAAAGAAAGCCGTGGAAAACCGTAAGTCAATAATCTTCATCCGGGCTGATTGGCAGGAGTTTGGATCAAGCGGAGTAAATGCCAAACGCGAATGTTACGTGGCCAACATACTTTTTGTAATTCCATTTCCTCCTCAGTTCGCACAGCAACCATCTGCGAGCACAAGTAAGTCCGACATGAAAATCGATCATTACGGCAGTTGCACGCAATACAGGCTTGCACTATTTATTCTGAAGCAGGATGACAGGTCTACCTGTGCGTTGAGTAGCTTTTCTTGGGCAACGGCAATGCGCCTGACAACCATTTCCGTCGTTCTCTGAGCCATGGAAAGAAGTTCCACGTCGTGGGCAACCGGCTCAAGCGCTTCTTGCTTCAGCTCCAAGGCCATTTCTGCCCATACCTCACCAGCCTTGAGGTTCAAATACTGCTCGATAACGACCAAGGTGATCTGATGTTCATCAGGCATCGGATTTTGAAGCGCACCAGGACGCTTTTGTGAGCAACAAATACCTAGCAAGGGAACTGAGGCTTTGTCATAGGCATCGCCAGGCATAGGAACTGACCTGGTCATCCAAGTCCAGCATTCTGCGACAACGCTGAAAGGTGATGGCACTGGCAATGGCAAAGATGCGCGAGCGCTCGTTTTCCAAAACCTCGAGAATTGCAGGGCTAGGTTGAGTCCCAGGCCGAGCCTCATCACTTTCGACCGTCAAAGGCCCGCTGCCACAGGATAAGGGATAGAGCGTGGGCAGATCGGCACTAGTGGCAGTGCCGGCCAGCGCGATGTTCAAAATACTGCCAGCTTCCAGGTGAGGGCAGCCTATCCGAGTGTTGCAATCGCGCCATAAGCGACAAAGTAGCGATGCAATGCTGGCCCGTGGGTTTCCGCTGCCCTGCCACTGCAAAAAGTGTCGCAAGGCATCGTCATGATCGCATAAATCCGCCACAAAGCCCATCAAGAGCGAATGTAGATTGACCGGGCCTGTCTCGAGAAGGTCCAAAATCAAGAATGCGCCCTCGTGCTGCAGAAAAGTGCGAAGATTCAGAGCGCTACCGTCCACCACGGCCCTGTTGACGGTAGTGCGGGTAAGGTGAGCTGCGGCTGCATCACAGCAGGGCGGGTGTAGGGCCAAAAGCAAGAACGTGTGCAAGGCAGGGAGGTGCCAAGGCTGGCTTACCAAAGCGCATCCAGGCTGGCAATGATGAGGGCGTTGGGAGTGTGCTGACTGTCGCGAAGATATGCCAGGACAGTCTCGACGCCTCGGGCACCAATTTGATCGCGGGCATCCGAGAGGCGCAAGCATAGCGCACCCAAGATCATGAGAGCATACATTTTCAAATCAAAAAAGATGCTATCGGCTCGCTTGGGTAGCGGCTCATCCAAAAAGTCGATGAGCAAGGTGGCGAGCCCCTGGTCCAAAAGATCATGTTGCGTTGCGAGCAGATCAGGTGATGGGTCATTGACCAGAGCCAGTAAGGAGCGGAGGATGTATTTAATGAGGCTGCGGTGGCCGTTGTTGGTGGCAAGATCTTCAACGGGCTGCTGGCTGCGCGCATGGGCAAAGTCACCCGTCGCGTGAAAAGCATTGCCCGCACCGGCAAACAATCGGGCCTCAGGACCCGTCGAGCCTGGCGAATCTTGCATGGCCCAGGCGAGAAGATTCACCAGCACACCATTACCCCGGACGTCAGTGTAACCGCGCGGCACCCGGGGGAGAATCTGAGCTAACAAGGAGAGCACAACGAGTTGCAGCTCCTCAAACTGTGGTGCACTCCAGCTACGGGCAAGCTGTTCACCATCCTTGTGCAGATATGCCATGAGAACAGGTACAAGGCCTGCATCCTCCAAAACCTTGCAGGCTGCTGGTTCTTGGCTGTATTGCGCGAGGAGCGTAAAAGCGGTTTTAGCAAAGTCAAAATCTTCCGGCGCTGTGGTCCATCGCAGACGACGAAGGTCGAGGTGTCGCGCCGAATTCAAATCCGCACTTCGCAACAGGTCCACCACCAATTCCAAGACATTTGCTTCCTGCCAACGTAATGGTCACATGAATGTATCAGATCGGATCGTATTGAGGTGTGTAGTGGTGTGTGTGTGTGTGTGTGTGTGTGTGTGTGTGTGTGTGTGTGTGTGTGTGTGTGTGTGTGTGTGTGTGGTGTGTGCAGAGAGAAGTCTCTGAGTGGTGGTATGAGTGAATGTGTTGACTGTGAATGTAAGGAAGGCGCACAACATATGCGGGCAGGACCAACGATGACCGTACCAGCAAAGCTGCGCGCGCAGCGGGAATGTCACTGGCAAGGGTGACAAGGAGAAGAATGTCGTTGCGAATGGCACGCCTGGTTTGTGAATTGCCTTCAAAGGCAGCACGCTGCAAAGCTTGGTAGAGGCAGACGGCCACGGTTTGAAGTTCATCAGTTGACTGCTCAAGAAAATCGGCACGTTGCGGATGCGCAAGCATTTTGAGCAGGAGGTCAAGCACAAGAGCGCCTTCGGGGCTAGCAAATTCTTGCGTCTGCTGAGCCAGGCATCTCGAAAGGAGGGGCAAAAAGCTGCCTTGGAGAAGAATGCCGACCCCATGATCTGTAACTCCGACGTGATTCAGAATGTCGAGGAGGAGTCGCTGCATGTCATCGCTCAAAGCCGCGGGCGCGGATGATGGGTTTAGGGCATGAGGGGTGCTGTCCTGATCACTCTTTGAGTGGGATGGGTGTGCTGGGGTGGATAGTGCAAAGGCACGAGTCAGAGCGGCCGCAGCATCCTGCACAAAGTTGGAAGAGAGGATGGCGCGAGCGACCATGCCCAGGATGCGAGCGGCGGGTTCCGATTCGGCCTTGGCCTGCGAGGGTCCGTCGCGCACAGGAGCAGCCTTGCGCAGCGAGCCGTTGAGGGAGGCGTGGAGGGATGCGGTCATATGCAAAGCGTCGCCCAAAACGCTGGCTTGCTCGAGGATGGAACGGTCCAGGTTGAGAACAATGGCGTGCATAGTTTCAATCGCAGAGACACAGAGGCGGGGTTGAGGGACGGAGAGGAGGTTGCCGAGCTCGTCGAGAAGTTCGCAGATGCCGGTTTGCAGGTCATGGACCTGTTGGCGCACGTGCAACATTTCAGGCGTCACAACGAAGGAATGCTGAAGGGGCACGATGCAATTGATCAAAGGGTCAAGCAGAGCATCTGCTCCGTTGGCAATGCGCTGAGCCAGGCACGCGACCAGCCGAGCCAGGGCTGGAGCATCACTAGCGCGATAGCCACGAGCGTTTCGCTTGGCCACCTTGGCCAGAGCATGGAGATGGCGCTCCAGCAAATCTCGAGAATATTCGTCCTCAAGGAGTTGGAGAACTTTGTCCAAATCAATGGTCTTGTCAGAATGAGCTTCACTCTGCGACTTGCCACTGAGCGTGGTAGTCATCCCCTCGAGGCCCTCAAAGGCGCGCGCCACACGCCCACGCCCGGACAAGGGCCTGGGCGGTACCTCGCGGTTACCGGTAGGCGGTCGCGGGGCAGGAAGCGTATCGGCCATGTCGATGTCTGGTATGGTGATGTTGTTCGAATCGAATCAAGGCCAGTGCCGCCGAAAAGGTGCAGGGGGACCAAGGTGGTGACCCAGGCAGTCCGGATGAGGGTGCGTAGGATCAAGTTGAGGCGTGCGCAGACCTAGGCCGGCATTGCGGCGCGTCGCGCTTCGGGGCACCTGCTTTGTTAAGACCGAATGACAGGCGCAGTAAGACGCGCTGGATTGTCCAGGTCAACCCCCGCAAGCCTTTGCGGTCGCTGATGTCGAGCCCGATTCAAAACGAGCTTTGCCAACGGAACAGCAGGCGGAAAGAAAGAGAAATCAATCAAGCAAGCAAGGTCCAGAAAAAATAAAAAGGCCAAGAGCAAGACAAGAGCAAGACAAGAGCAAGACAAGAGCAAGACAAGAGCAAGACAAGAGCAAGCCAAGAGCAGGCCAAGAGCAGGGCAAGAGCAAGCCAAGAGCAAGCCAAGAGGCAGACAGAACAAGCCCCCTCCCCCACGAGCCAACAGTCTCCTTCAGCAGGTCAGGAAAAAAAAAAAAAAAAAAAAAGTTGTCGGCGATGATCGGGGCGTCGTCAAGGTCAACAGTTACCAAATGACATTCACTCTGCCACCATGAATTTCTGACATTAGTATCTGACATTTTGAATGTCACGGCGTGTGTCGTGCTGTGCTGGTGGTTTTATGGTGTGGCGCTTGGCGCAGGTGTTACAGTTACAAACAGGTGTTGGAAAGAACCGTTGACGAGAAACGGCGCTGCCGCCGATCGTTTCACACACACACACACACACACACACACACACACACATGAGCGAGCGCGTGAAACTTGAAGCGTGTGTGTGGTGTGTGAGGGAGTGAGAACGCCCGCCTCGCGTGGCGCGCGGTTCTGGCTCTTGGCGCTTGACTCCTTTGAGCTCGTTCAACTGCCATTGCTCGGCGCATTGAACCGGTCGTAGCCACAAAGTGCTGGTCAGGCGAGCCGCTTTGAGGCATGAGACGGGAGAGGCGATCCTAAGTACGAGGCAGCTGGCTAATTTTAATTTTTTTTTTCCCATCAGTCCGCAAGACAAGTTAGCACGCTGGAAAGGCCTCTTGGCACCACATCTCATGGCGCCACTTGAGATCTCCAGAGTCTGACACCCGACGCACGGTTGTATGCCACCCGCCGGTGCCTCGCCGCCCGAGCTTGCGCACACCAGCGTCCATGTCCCGAGAACTACATGAGAATTCGCCGCGAGACACTTTTCACCAGCTGCTCGGCTCGCTGACCAACAGCGGTGCTCCGGCCCCACCCACCACCTCAACACACCTGCCAGATCCGGCGAAAGTTCATGCTCCACCCACTCGCCCTGCCGACGCCAACACACCCCCGGCGCTTCAGCGCCATCGCTCGCGACGAGCGGGCGCTGCCGCGGCTGACAAGCTGCCTTCCTCTTCCACCATGGGTGGACGCAAGGCCCGCTCCGTGTCCCGTACGCTGCATTTGGACGCCGATCCTCGCCCAGACACCGCCACTACTGCCACAGCCAATCGCAATGCTGCCAGCCCTGTAGGCTCGCGCGCCCGCATATCCCCCGGCCGGGCTAGCACCGACCACAGCCCCTTGCTCGTGGTCAACAACGTCCGTGCCGGGCATACTCCGCGTCATGTTAGCCGGACCCCGCGCCGATCAAAGTCCACTGCCCCAAAGATATGCCTTGACGATGATGATGATGATCTACCTCCCGCGGACCGTCGACCTGCTCCCCCGGTGCCCACGCGAGTCACTCTCCTCGATCCTCCGGCTGAGCACCCCTCCCCAAGCCATACCACGCTGACTCATCACGGGCGCCCCGTCGCCTCTCCTATTAACCAACAGCAACAATTGCCTTCAGCCTCGGCTGACCAACACAATGCCTCTGGGTCGGACGGCAACCGGCGCCTCCCTGACATTCCCGACACTCCCTGCAGTCCCGATGACAACATGAGCCCCTCGGAGCAGCGGCAGCAGATGATCAAAATGCTTGTGCACGAACGCTTGCGCACGCTCCGCACCCGCCGCTTGCCCCCATCTGATCACATTGACGCTTACCTCAATCTCAAATCGTGCGTAGCACTGCCAGACTTGACCCAAGGCACGCGGGTTCAATCCTTTGACTTGCCTAACTTTCTTCGTATAAATACCCATGGTTTTTAGATACATGATTGGCCGTGACGGTCATGACATTGCGTTGCATCTGGCTGAGCGCAACAGCGAATTCCTGCCTCTCGTCCTGGTGCGTGTGAACACACCATCATAGTACCAAGCCACGTTGTTCCTTCCTGCCTGCACATCACCCTCATCTCATAATGCACCCCAATGCATCCCATGGTACCTTGTGCCAATCGGTGTGTCTGACAAATGGACACGGCCATCAGGCGGATATTCGTGGCCAGGATCTGCATTGCACAGCCGCGGCAATTCAAGTGACAGCCGCCTTGTTAAGCTGGGAAAGCGCCGTGCGGTATGCTTGCTTTGGGCTGGCACCCATTTCCTCGTGGGGCGCTCTGCCTCGCCTTCACCGTTGACCCATACACACGGTGCCGCCGCTGTTTGCACATGTACTAGGCTCTTGGAGACGCATGAGCTCAAGCAATACATCCAAGGGCTCTGCGATCGCGTCAACCTTGCATACAAGGCCTTGGAGGTACCCAGCCATAACGCATCGCTCCCACAGCCCATGCCTTGGTTGTGTGCCGCACCCACTCCTCCTCATCCCAAATCTATTTGCGCCGATGCTGCGGGAAGCAGCGACACCAAGGACAGGAGGCAAATGACAAGCCAACCGTTCTGGTGACCATGACTCAGCTTGCGCTTTGGTGTCTTCGCACAAGCTGCTTCGACGGCTATCTCCTTGCTAGCCAGGTCTGATCGGCGCCTGTCCCCCTGGCGTACCAGCATCGCGCAAGTACCTCGTGCGCTCACCCGATGGTCCCTTACGCTTACCATGTGGCATCGCTTCCTTCAGGTCGAGTTGCTATGTGTAGCACTATTCCAGGCCACAAGCCCAGCATTTCGTAGCTCAAAACTGCTTTTGGAGGCCGCCCAACTCTTGCAGCACCTACATGCACAAGTGGAAGGGTTCTCCGCCCGCGACACAATCATCGCGCTCTGGCTGCCGGCTGCTTTTCAACTTGCTGCGTGCCCCACCCCGGAGGTATCACTGACTCGCTTAGCCGCGGCACATGCACCAGGCATAGCCATCAGCTCATGTGTGCCCACCAACCATGTCTCGGTTCCTGTTGGTTACAGGCGGCGCTTCTCGCCCTTCCGCTACTTGACGTCGCCATCAAAAGTGCACGTCCGTTGTTGACCAGTCGCCAGGCACGGGAGGCCATTCGTAGCCTACAGTCGGGCTTTGTCCAGCATGTTCGCAACACATGCACGCAGCCGGCACCGGCACAGGAGCGGGCTGTAACGGTTCTGGGTTTGCTATGCGTGGCTTTGGGAAATGCTCTGAGCCGCACTGGTCAGCTGCCCTTTCTCAACGCTATCACTCCGGTCATATCATGTGCCCTCTTTGACTCCGCGGACCACAATGTCAATCGCGTGGCGCTATGGGCATGGCTGTGGTAAGGTCGCTTAAGCCCATCCGCATGTCGCAAAAGGGTCTTTGTTCACGTGATGCATGCTCGCCGTCATGCTTAACCCGTGTACTTTGCTCTTGGATCTCACCTTCCGGTCCGTCCTCCGCTCCCGGCCTTGCTACTTCTCATTAGGATGGTGCAATGCTTTGCGGTTGACTTCAAAAAGGTTGCGCAGTCCATGTCGCGTCGTGAATTTTTGCTGGCCGCACTCGTTCCGAATGACAATTCAGCCTCCCTGCCGGCGTCAGAGCCGGTGGATATTCGTCGCCTGCGTATTCTGAGCGCGGTGCGACTCTTGGGGGAGATTGCACCCTCAACTCAGGCATCCTCAGCTCTCCACGAGCATCATTTGGTGGGCGTGATGAACATTCTAAAGGTCCTGAATACAGCTTCCGAGCCTGATGAGGCGTGTGTTGACACCCTTTGGGCTCTAGTCGACGGTCTTGGGCCGTTTAGCATGGCACATGCCACGGCTCGGCCACTCAACTTTACTTTTCATACGGAAACTCTGCGAGAAATGGTTGTGGCCCATGCCATCCCACCATGGTTGGAGACGCAGCCTCGCGCCGCCGTGGCTATACTGTCCCACGCCTCACAAGCTCGTGCAACCCAACTGGTGATTTCACTTGCCACCCGGCTGAAGTCTAAATTTCTCCAACGTCGACTGGTGGCAACCCTTTGCCGCCTTGTTGCCACCCACGGATTTCCACCAGATTTGGATGGTGCGCTGCGCGAGCGTGCTGTACATCTTATCGTGCTTCACCTGCCTCGTTTAGCCGCGGTCACAAGCGGTCACCGCTCTACTGCCTTGGATGGCGGTTTGGATACCATCATGAGTCCTGGCTCGCGACGTGGACGCCGAAGAAGCTCAGGTTCAGCGCCACCGCCCTCGTCCGACGACGCAGAGGCTCTCGTGGAGTTGGACAATGGCAGCGTCATCGGTTTGCTGCGGCAGTTGTCCGTCACAGACCTCGTGATGCCGCTTGCTGATGATGATTTGGCCATGCCACGCCAGACCGATAAGAAGGCAATGCCTTCGACCCGCTGCCCTTCACCACCGGTTGCGCCTGCCACGACCGTCGAGACGCTTATTGTAGATACTGCCGCCGAGCCGACGTTGCTCGGCTTGCTTCTGTCACGCCTGTGGACAACACCCGACTTTTGGGCTGAGCTGCAAGACGCCGTTGCTGGCGCAACGCCTGAGCAACTGCTTGGAATCCATCGTGGTGTACCCATGGTCAACAATAACGTTGAAGCCTCCGCGCTCGAACTTCCTGTCGTCATGCACACCCTAGTCGACCTTTGGGCGCGCGTAAGCGAGGCTGTTGATCCTCTCAGCGTGGCCATCCCCTTGTTGCAATCATGTGGCGCGGCACTAGATGTGCAAGGCAATGCCACGCCGACCGCTTGCCTCGCGGTTTGGCTTCTGCCCTGCCATGCACTCCTTCACCTTGCAGCCTCGCGGGACGTGCTGCTGCGCCCGAGCCCGCACGGCCCAGATGCAAGCGCGGTGGTGGCCACATTAGCCTTGCCCTTTCGTCAGGCGTGGTTGCCTCAGCTAGACGTCTTGTTTAGCAAATGCCTTGCGGCCCAATGGCGCAAGTTGTTTCTCCAGGCGGAACGCCTCATTGATGGGGACGTGACCGCTTTTGGTCTCGTGGCACCCATTGCTGAGGCCGTGAATGTGGCGGTTGTGCGACCAGAGGAAGCTTTGACCCGCCCCGCTTTGTTTGAGGTGGCCTGCGAAGTTGGGGCGCGCCTTGCGACCAGCGCTGCGCGCTCTCGCGATTTTAGACAGGGCCCTCGATCTCGCGATCGAAGTGCAGTCAGAGCTGACGATTCTCGTCTACGCTCTGTCATCAAGAGTCTGGGTTATCTGCTGAGCCTTTGCTATCAGGCACGTGCGCGTTGTGTTCTGATGCCTTGCTCCCACTCAGGCTTCGACTTTTGCTTTTCGGCCCGTTACTCCAGGCATCTTGAATTCGTATCTGTTCTTTTTTTTTTTTTTTTTTTTTTTTTTACATGATAAATGCGTGCGTGTGCTTGTGTGTGTGTGTGTGTGTGTGTGTGTGTGTGTGTGTGTGTGTGTGTGTGTGTGTGTGTGTGTGTGTGTGTGTGTGTGTGTGTGTGTGTGTGTGTGTGACTCATGGCTTGATCACATGCTCTTGCATTGCATCAGGTGGCGACGGATGCAGCGGCGTTGGTTCCGCTCAGCCCATGCCTTGACCAGATTGTGCAAACGGCCTCCCTATTGCTGGCCAACTGTGAAACGGCTCAGGTAAGATACTTGCTTGAGCGGGGAGGGTTTGTCGCTGCACCGTCGCACTTTGACTGACGCTGCCAACGCTCACCTTGCTGGATGGGGGATTTATATGGGCACCAATAGCGCTTCGAGCTGGTTGTACCGCTGTTGGCCACGCCCGCCCTCGCATTCTTGCAGGGGATGGGACAAGGGCGCCAGCGTCGCTCGAAGGGCCGTGGAGCGACTGCCGTAGCCAGTGCTGCAGAGGAGCCGGAGACTGACGCCCGAGCTGGACGCTTGATCAACCCGTTGGCTTTTCCTCTCAAGGACAAGTTTGTTGTCTTTTGGCGTCAGATGACGACCCAAATTGCGCGCTTTTATGCTGCAGCGACCGAACCTGATTTGATTCGCATCCTGAAGATCACACAGCGTTTCTTTGAAGTGACGCTCTTACACGCACACACTGACATCCGAGTCGCTGCCAAAGAGTGTTGGATGCATGTTTTCGTGCAACTGTCGCCCAGCCACCCAGCCTTGTCCGAAGAGTTGCGCAGCGTGCTTCTCGAGACGGCGCGTCTGGACGCTGCCTTCAACATTCCTTCGCCCGTGCCCGCTAGCAGTGGACCTGCCACAGCTCCTACGACCGCCTTGGCCAAGGGCACACGATTTGAGGCGCAACAACGAAATCTTGCTTTGGATCTGGGCGTTGACGACTCGCAACTCACACAACAGGAGAGCCAATTGGACCGAGAGGCTGCAACGTTTTTTGCATCAAACACGAGTTGGTCAACAGCGCACGATACTTTGGCCAAGACACTGGGCGCTCGGCGTTCTGGTGCGGTCGGGCTAGGCAAGACGAATGCCAAGACGTTGGTTGCGGCGCGTAGCAGTGTACAGAAAGAGCCAGTTATTTCGCGAAAAAACGGCAGCCTACGCAGTTCAGCTCAACCCCCCACCGAAAAGTCGCGTCGAGTGCGATCGCCAGAGGCGACAGACTCGCGCATTGGGCGCACCTCAAGCCTGGCCACAACGGCAATGGCTACCCACGAAGAAGCCGCTTCTGCACCTGGCACCATGCAATCCAAGCCTCAGCAAAACAAGCCGCCCGGCATCATTCGCCGCGAGCTTGCGCCACGACGTAACGGTGCACGCTCGATGCGCCGCGTCTCCTTCAACCTGGAGCAAAATACCAGCCATGAAGTCGCCCCGATGGGGGACGCTAGCCGGTCGCCCCGCAAGCGCGCAGGAGGTGAACGTGTCAAGCCCGCGCGCAAGCGCGCCCTACTTTCCCCTCAAGACCATCGCGCCGTGCGTCGCGTGAGCGCCTACGAATCCCCCAAACTATCGCCAGACGCTAGCCGTGTTTTTAACGTATGTGCAGTGCCGGGCTTCTGTCTGTCGATGAAGGAGAATCGTCAATGCTCTCTGGTGCTCACAAGTTTCTCGCGTGGTGTGCTCATGTCGTGTCTACTCAACTGAATCCTAGTTCAACCCAAAAACACTGCCAGTGGTCTCTTTGGGTAGTGCCCGTGCACGCCGGCTTTTGGAAGCATCTCTGGCTTCCAAAGACAAACCGCTGGTAGATGCTGTTGATCCGACGGCAGAAGGCAGCCCGCGACTCCGCCGCTCATCCAGCCGTACGTGACCTAGCTATAAGATTCGACTCTTTTCATCTTGAAAATGTCTGGGAGAGGTGGGGCAGGAGAGTAAAGATGGGCACGAGACGGGACGAACAAGGAGAAGGATAGGCAGGGCAGCCCTTTCATCGACGTGAGAAAGCATACAGAATGCCACACGATGGAGACGAGAACCGAATTTGATGGCTCTCCAACCCATGGCCACCACTCACCTTCCTTTTGTTCAACGAATTATGTTTTAGAAACTTCCTTGACCCACCATCTGGATGTTGGGCCACTCGCATCAACCGAAAATACGGCCCAGGGCGTTGCTGCAGCACTGGCCGCTGCCTCGGATGCGGAAACTCAGATTGAGTCGGAAGCAGAAGCAGATGCGGATGCAGGCTGGCGAGCACGAGAGTCATGAGTGACGGTTTCAAAAGCCCTGCTTCTCAGCCCTTAATTTTTTCCTAGGTATCAGGCTTACTTGCCCTTGTTTTTTCTTTCATCTCCTGACTCCTTTATCGATTCATTACAAATACAAGCCGGGCTGGTGCAGCTCCGCCATCCTGCTTGTCCCAATTCATTGGCATGTCCCATTACTGATTCGCTTGCTGATCTGACTGACTCAGCTGTCGAGGACAGGGAAGAGAGTACACGAGTGCTTATCGATTCCATTCGAAGCAGAGGCCAGCAGTACATTCGCATGTAAAAAATAAAACGAAAAGCAAACACCGAAAACACACAAACACACACACATATACAAATACGCACATACAACGTGTATGCACAAACCATTTTCGAAACAACCCGAGTGATGATTGTTTGACAACAAACTAAGCAAAGTAACGGCGGCCGTAAACTGGCCTTCTGGGTACATGATTCCGACACACATTCGTTGAACCGCAACAACAGGCAATTCAGCGACCATATACCGGAGAAAAGAGTAAAGAAAGAAGCTCGCATTGAAACTTGAAACGCTTCAAACACAACGAGGTGCAGGTTGACACGAAGCAAGAGGCAATATCAGGTGCTTAGCAAGCTCAAATAGAAGCTCTGGTGACGACAGCCAAGCTGACTATGCCTGCAGGACATCGTCGTCGCTGCTATCATCGGCACCCAACAGATTGTACTTCTTGCGAAGCTCACGGTGGCGTTCGCTACGCTCTTGCTTGCTGCGGAGTGGTGTGGCGAAGAGAAAAAAAAAAAGCGATAAACGTTGCCGGCATGAGACATATACTACAGCCAGGATCAGAAGCCACCAGGTCTAGGGTGTGGTTGAGGCTGAGCGACTTACCGAATGGCCTGGCGCTCTTCGCGAGCTTGGCGTTGCTTGCGATCCTTTGAGGACTCCTTGTACTGGTACACGCTATCGAAAATAGTATCATCAGGCAAAGCAAACATGACATCAGTCGTCAAAAGCAAAGAGCAGCCCTATCTGAAGCATAGCCAGGCTAGCAGACTGGTGTGACACAAACTTGATGGCACGACGCTTGTTCTTGCGGCAGCAGCAGCAATACATCCACAGGCAGAAAAGGAGCAGGATGCCGACCACCGTGCAAGGGATGATAATGTAGATCAGGGTCATCACATTCACTGCAACGACGGCAAGAACAAGTGTGAGGTACTCGCTCTAAGAGGTGGGCAGTCTCTGCGCGGGTAGATGGAAGCGTACTGTTGCAGTTCCAGACGTAGCAGTCCTTGGCATCGCAACCATCACACTTGACCCCAGAGAATTTGACGCAAGTGCCTGTCTTTTTGCAGTAGCCGGTCTGCAGGCACGCCAGGACGGAGTGCATGAGCATAAAAGAGAGGCGCATCGTTTGCATGATGCCGCGATGTAACAAATCAAGATGATGGCCGGGCACACCAGGAGACGATTGCACTATCACTTCACGAATGAGTCGAGTGAACAACTTACCATTTTTCCGGGTTTGACGCCGCACGACGAGCAAGTGGCGTTGCCGTAAGCTCCGGAGGGATCAGTCGTTGAGCCCCAATACGATGTTGAAGAGGAAGATGACGAGGTGGGTTTGCTCGTCACGGTAGAAGTGCTGTTCCCGGGAGCGTTTGTTGGGGCCGAGGTGGCTGGCGCAGATGTCGAGGCATTGGTTGTTGGCCCAGCCGTCGGCACGGTTGTTGGTGCGGTGGTTGACGCGTTGGTCGGCACGGTGGTCGGCACGGTGGTCGGCACGGTGGTCGGCACGGTGGTCGGCACGGTGGTCGGCACGGTGGTCGGCACGGTGGTCGGCACGGTGGTCGGCACGGTGGTCGGCACGGTGGTTGACGTGTTGGTTGACGCGTTGGTGGTCGGTGCGTTGGTCGGTACGTTGGTCGGCACGGTGGTCGACACGGTGGTTGATGCGTTGGTCGGGGTGGTCGGCACAGATGTCGCATTGGCAGCTGATGTGGGAGCAGCCTGCACTTGCAACGGGACCAAGGCCAAGCTCACCATCAACACCAAGCCCGTCGTCATCAGAATGGAACCACTCATCCATCCCGCTCCTGCTCCATTCTTACGCTTCATCGCCACAGCACATGCTGCGCTACTGCGCTCGGCTGCCATTTTGCTCGTTTCCGATCTCCCTCTCTCTCTCAAAAAAAAAATAAAAAAAATAAAAAAACTCGTCAACGTCATGAGAGTCCTAAGGTTAACGTTACGACTGATGAATTTGATCGCGATCACATTTGTCAGCAAGGGTGGGCATAAGTATCGTTGATGGTTGTTTTTCACTTTTTTGGGCTATGCTCGGTACAGACACAGACACAGACTCGCAAGACTCGAGGCCAATACAATTGTCGCGTGCTGCACGGATGAGGTGGGGCAAGCTCTGATATGGCGGGTACGAGGGACTACAGGAATACAGTGCAGAACAGGCAGTGGCTAGCATCAACGGGCACGGGATTCAAGCGGAACAATCCAATCCATAAAGGAGGAAGGGCCATGACCACAATGTGACCACGATTGACAAACACAGGAGACTAGGCAAGTCATGATTAAACTCGGTATCATGACGTGCAAGCTCCAACGCCAGGGAGAAGACGAAAAAGAAAAGGATAAAAAGAAAGGATAAAAAAAAGAGAGCACGAACGACGGGAGGGTCTGGAAAACTGAAGCAAACAGGCAGAACTAAAAAAGCAAAGCGGAGAGGTGCAGGACATGACAATAGACAGCAGTAGCAAGACCAGAAAAAGATGGTAAAACCAGCCAAGCGTGCTGTCTACATACAGATGGGTCATAAGAGGGAAGGTAGACAGACACAAAGACTAACAAGGCCAGGACATGCGGTCGTCGCCAGGAGCCAATTATTAAGAACCAGCGACTGGAGAAGATTTGAGGCGTCGAGCATCAAATTCCAAGGTAGGAGGCGTTGGAGCCAGACTGCAGAAAAGAGAAGCGACGTGCACCTTCATCGCTGTAAAGTTCAATGACCAGGCGCCGCAAGGTCGCAAGCTCATTCTCCAGCACTACTACCTCTTCCTGAAGCGCTTTTTGCAGTCGAATGGCCGAGTCGAACCGATCCTGTCGCTCCCGCCGTTTGGCTTTCTCGATCAGCCGATGACGCTGAGCAGCGATGCGATTGACTTCACGCATCTTCTCGAGTTCTGATGAATTGAGGTCAGCCACAAGCTTGCGCTTGCGATGGCGCTTCTTCTTGGGCCGCGGAGCGCCGCTGGAATTGCCCGAGCCCGCAGCGTTGCCCCGGGCGTTGCTCCCATCGTGGGCGTACGGATTCTGTCCACTGATGGAAGTGCTCATGTTGGAAGAGTCATGGTGCATAGAGTCTCCGCCAAAGGGCTCAAACCCACTCGCCGGCGAGTAGGAATCGTCCTCCCCTTGAGAACCACCATCGTCGTCATCCTCATCGTCGTCATCCAAGAGATTGTCCAAGAGCGAATTGTCACCCATCCCATCGAGGCTCGTCATACCACCCAAACTGTTTGTGCTACCCACGGCACCCAAACCACTGAGGCCGTTTGGTGGACCCGAGGGCATGCGGACGCCATTGTTGCGAGGTGACATGGCCTCGCCCGGGAGCAATGATGAGGTGAGGGGCAGGGAAAATGAGGGCATCTCATTCATGTCGTCCGGAAAGGGTTCATCTGTCAGCACAGGAAGCGCAAACTCATCCAGATCGTCCCAAAGACTGGGAATTTGGCCACCGGCCCCTACCATGGGCACGTTAGAGGTGGCGCCAGATGATGTTGCTGAGGGCATCTGTAGGGTGGGTGCATTCATGGTTTCAAAAGGATTGGTATCCTCGAGAGGCAATAGAGGAATGTCCAGACCCTCGAGGCTGGTTTGATAGGCTGCCGAGCGGCCGTAGGCATCATTCCCAGCAGCAGGATAGCCATTGATGGATCGGGATGCTTCACCAGCGGGCAGCCCCAAACCCTGTGCCATGGGGCCACGCGCGGGCAAGCCCCCCTGTCCCATCAAGCTCCAGCCCTGCGTTTGAGCGCCTCCTTGGCCTCGGGACACGGCGGGGCCGTTGGCACGGTAACCAGGCGTCATGTTGTTCAAGGCCTGCTGCTGACTCAGTGAGATCTGTGGGTTGCTAGCAGCGGGAGAACCGCCGCTTTGTTGTGGGGACTGGAGCATTTGTTGCAAGAGCTGGAGTTGTTGGGCTGTGGACACTGGACTTGAAGCTGGTTGACTCTGAGGTGACGCTCGCGACATGTGCTGAGATTGTGCAGAATAACGTTGCTGTTGCTGTTGTTGTTGTTGTGGTTGTGGTTGTGGTTGTGGTTGTTGTTGTTGTTGTTGTTGTTGTTGTTGTTGTTGTTGCTGCTGCTGCCGTTGCTGCTGCTGTTGTTGTTGTTGTTGCTGGTGTTGTTGTTGTTGTTGCTGTTGCTCTTGTTGCTGCTTGAGTAGAGTCGTCAAGACTTGCCAAGGAGCAGGATGCTTGACGAGGTCGGCAAGCGTCAAGTTCAAAGGACTAGAGGAAGAAGAGGTGGTGGCCAATGTGGTGGGCATACCAGGCCGAATACTTGGGTTGGCTCGCAGTGCTGCCGCCAAGGTGGCCGCCGTGAGCGAGGGTTGTTGATGCTGCTGCTGCTGCTGCTGTTGTTGTTGGATCGACGCTTGCTGGGGATGCTGAGCTTGCTGCATGTACTGTGCCTGGGCCAGGGTTTGGGTTGGTCCCGTGGAGGCCGCCGAAGAAAACGTGGGCCGGGTGCTGTAGGTCATGGCTGTGTCCATGTAAGAGGAGGCGGGAAGCAGCCGAGATTGTGCCGGGCGCTGAGACGGTGCCAAGCCCATGGAAGCAGGGTTGTTGGACTGCTCTTGCAAACCGGCCATGTCATTGCTCGGGTTGAAGAGGCCACTCGAGCCAGTGGTACCTGGTATGCCCAGAGTGGGCGCAGCCAAATCCGTGAGCCAGGAAAAGTCATCCTCACCCTCGGGTTCGCCGCCCAAGTACTGAGCCATTTGGCTGGTGTGCCGCTCGTCGACAATGAGGCACTTTCAGCTTGAGACGGCGGTTGAGGAGAAGAGCGTTGCAAACAGGAACGAATCTATAGGCGCTGCCGCTTGCTTGGCATATTCAGGGGCATTGCCAAGTCGAAAAAAGAACAACCAAATGCGAGGGAAGGTGCAGGCCCTCTCAAAGGGCAGTCAAACAAGCTGCCTGCGAAAAGCCAGGGGGGGGGCGGCATATGGAAGCAAAGTCGATCCAGGCGCAGAGCGTGAGGCGAGACAAGCGGTGTGGGGTCGTCCCGGGCGAAAGCAGGACACCGTCGGCATGAAAACGAGACACATGAAAGGAAAAAAAAAAAAAAAAACGACACCGAACCGTAATTGTGGACTTGTGTTGAGTCCCGGAGGGGGGGCGAGGAAGGGGGGCAACTTCAGGATCAAGGACCAAGCAACTGCAATAAACTGCACACCCGAAGCAACGAGCCAGCTATGAGCGTGTGGTAGTTCTCCATCCAGCTGCCGCTGCACATGACGAGTCGACGGCCGTTGGAAACACTCGTGCCGTTGGCCAAAGGGGAAGAAGGCAAGGGGGTGGGCGGTGGGTGGCAAAGTGAAAACGCAGGCGGCCACCCTGCCGATAAAAGCCAAGCCAAGCTTACCACGCACACGTCACTTGAACGCAGCCCAAAGACCCGCAGTCGTCCCAAGACCAAACACGGCACGCCGACACAGCCGGCCCAGATAAAACGCACGGCTGCCAAATGAGAGAGAGACAGAGAGAGAGACAGAGAGAGAGACAGAGAGACAGAGAGAGAGGTGTGTGTGTGTGTGTGCTCTCTCTCCTCTCTCTCTCTCTCTCTCTGTGGTCTCTCTCTCTCTCTCTCTCTCTCTCTCTCTCTCTGGTCTCTCTCTCTCTCTCTCTCTCTCTCTCTCACTCTTTTGTTCTTCTTTTCGTTTCAATCGTTTCTTTGTGTGTGTGTGAAGAACAGCACAGATGAGCATGACAACAGTCATTTACAACAGCTGCTGCTGCTGTCGAACCCCGACACGCTGCTCAAAAAAGAATGGGTCAAGTCTCCGTGGAAACTCAAAGACTCACATGCCTGAAAAGAAAGTATTTCACCCCCATTCAACCAGTTCATGCTCTTGAAACATGTTCAAAGCTAAAAGTATAATACTTGGGTAAGTAAAATAGGGGAAAGTATTTTACTTGAACAGCAAAATGGCCGTGCGTAACCCCCGTGTCTTCTTCGATGTCGCCATCGGCAGCCAGCCCGGTACGTATCTCCGTGTGGCTCCCCCGCGCCGTGGGCCTGGTTCGGTTGGGGAGGGGGTTCCTTGGTTTGCTTGGAACTGTTGATACTCCCTCCGCTTGGCCTTCCATGCTCTCTCTCCCTCTCCCTCTCTCCCGTGCGTGCTGGGACATGCATGGCTCCAAGACCACTGGCCGCAAGTGATACCGAAAGGCACTTGGGCATCTCTGGCACCGTTGGCTTTGCAGCTTGGGTTGAAGGAGAATTGGGGGGCGCCAAGTGCACAGATCAACTCCTTGATGGCTTTGCTCATGGGTGGACTCAATGGGTTTTTTTTTTTCTCTTCTTCTTCTCCTTCTTCTTCTTGACCCTTCATTTAGCCAAGCGCATGGTTTTCGAGCTGTTCAAGAAGCAGGTGCCCAAGGTACGGTTTCTTCGCTACGCTTGGCCCGCCCCGGGCCAATGCATCAAACGACATGTCGGCATTGTCTCATGTCCTGGTTCGTTTTCAAATAGACGAGCGAGAACTTCCGTGCCCTGTGCACCGGCGAGAAGGGCCTGGGCGTTTCCCAAAAGCCCCTCCACTTTAAGAACACCCGCTTCCACCGTATCATCCCTCAGTTCATGGCTCAGGTTTGTTTGGACCATCTCCTCTTGGTCATTTTGCAGGAATGGTGGCTCCTTCTCCTCCCTCATCAACCCCCTGTCCTGTCTCTTCTTTCTCGGCTCGCGGTCCTGGTCCGGCGAACGGCAGGGCGGCGATTTTACCCATCACAATGGCTATGGCGGCGAGTCCATCTATGGTGCCCGCTTCGAGGACGAGAACTTTGAGGTGCGCCACGATCGCCGTGGCCTCTTGAGCATGGCCAACGCCGGACCCAACACCAATGGCTCGCAATTCTTCGTGACCATGGTCCCCACTCCCCACCTGGATGGTCGCCACGTCGTGTTTGGTGAGCTCGTGTCTGGTTTCAGCGTCCTTGACAACCTCGAAGCCATCGGCTCTGGCAGCGGCACGCCCTTGGAAGACGCCATCATCCAAGACTGCGGCGAGCTCGACGAGATTGACGAGTAAAGAGTGTCATGGCTTTACGTCTACACAATTCCTGGTGGTTCTGCTTTTGACATGAACAGAACGGCGTAAAATCGATCCATTAAAAAGGAACTGGTTTTTCGCGACCTTGCTTGCCTCACAAGCGCAGCAAAAGCCCGTGCTCCAGGTCCGCTGTTGCAATTCCCACCATCTTACACCAAGACATGAAATGCCAATGCCCAGCTCAAGTCGTCTTAGTTGCCCATACGCAGCGGCCTGGGCAGGAGAGGTGGTCGCATGCGTGGTTCATGCAAGTGGGTGGTTCGTAAACTCACACTCTTCGGACGCAACACAAAGTCATAGCCTGGTGCAGCAAACCGATCCGAATGGGGCCCAAAAAGGACGTTTTGCACATCATACTGGAAATGCACGCCCCCCACTGTGATGAGCTGACGAACGGAGGAACGAAAGAGGAAAATGGAAAGCAAACCAACCACCCGCACATGTGGACACGACTGCGCACCTGGCTCCAAAAGTGCAAATATTGGTGAAAGGCCGAGGATGGGTGGAAGGGCAAACGCGACAATTCCGGTAGAAATTGACCGTTTGGCTGCAGTCGATAAAAGCACATGGTTTGCTCGTCTTGATCAACGGTCAGCAAGCAGTTGCTGTTGGGCATTACCACGCGTTTAGGAAATGAGCTGAAGGTTGGCTGCAACATGCCGTGTACCATGTGCCAGACCCCTTTTGGCTCGAGCTGCTACAAATGGGCATACCCACCGGTCGGGAGACCAAAATAACGCCATGGGCATGGTCCTGAACACGTCTTGCCTCGTCCCGTTGTGCTAGCCAAACGGCACGTTTGTGGGGTAAGCACTGGATGTCAAAGAGAGCGAGGAAAGAAGCAAAATAGCCGGGCAAAGAAAGAAAAAAAAAGAAAACAAGCTACAGTTGAGTGAGTGGCTACATTAAAAAGACGTACCAGAATGAGGTTCCCCTCTGCAAGGTCAAGAACCGCAAAGCGGCTGGGTGGTGCTCCTTCCCCTGGTCCTTGTGGCGTTGCCGGCCCGAGTACAAACTGGGCCGCCGGTTGGGTTGACAAGACTCCAACCTCGCACCACGTGTTGACGTTGAAGAGTCGGCTCCCGCTGAGGGTCTGGATCAGCAGCTCGTTGCGGCGCCAAAACTGCGGTACGCAGCTCCTGTGATGCGGGGCGTACCAGGGGTGAATGCATCGACTAAAATGGCTACGATGGCGTGCCTGACGTACTGTGTCATGAGTGGCATCTCGGGAAGGTTGATGGTTTCAACGCTCCAAGTCGTCAGATCAAAGCGCTGGATTGCACGGCATGGCATGGCAGATGTTCAGAGTGCGGGACGCAATCTTGCGCTGGCATCCCAAACATGGCCCCTGAGAAGTGGCTGAGAGCTAGCTTACTTGGGCACGAAGCTGGCCGGCGTAGTTTGTGATGAGAAGGTGGCAATCAAGCCCGGGTTGCCAGGTGGCAAAGATCGGACGCCCGGTGTTGAGGTCGTGCACCTGAAAACATGACGCCCCGGTGTGCGATGAGCCGAGTGGGGAGCAGAGCGGAGGTGTGAGACTTGATATTTCCTTTGCACCGATACAAACAGAACGAATTGGTCCGCACCCGTGCGTCGCAAAGGTTTTTGCACTCGCTCAAAAAAATGGCGCTCTGCTTCAGCATCTGATGTTCGTCACTCCAGCGCAAAAAGACGAGCACTTCCCCGTCCGGGCTCCAGAGGTAATAAAAAGGCGAGCGTGGAAGCTGGATTCGCTGCATGTCAGTTCCATCCAGCTAAAAGGTGGCAATGATTGTACGCTAATGTCAGGTGATGTGGGATGCTCGAGTTGCAGGCGCGGATCGTCCGATGTCCATGGGCTAGATGTCCTGCAGCAGAACGGCCACGCGCGGTTGGCAGAGGGGCGTACGAACCAAGACGGTGCATAGCTCGCGCGTTACGCCGTTGGAGACGACAAAGCGAGTGCCACAAGGGCTAAAGGTGCATTCTGTGCAGAGTGCAGAGTGAGCTGGGTGGGTGGGTGTGACGCAGAGGGGCTGGTGGTGAAGCGTGTATGCAATGGCAAGGAGTGGGTGGGTGGGGACAGGCGATATGGAGCACGACGCACCATGGAGATTGCCAAAGTCGCTCCACGTGTTTAGGACGCGATCCTCTTCAAGATGATGACCCTCGAGACAGGCAAAGATATCATCGTCATCCACGGCAAGAAAAAAGTCGGGCGAGCTGCAAGTGCAGTAGAAGCAGGGAGGACAGCTGGTTGAGAGCAGCCCTCCTCGCTGATTCAGCAGAGGAAGGGTTGAGGAAGGAAGGTCCTCGGCTCGGGGCCCGGAGTTCACCCAGGGAGGATCGTGGCACATACCGTGCGAGTTCAACGAGGTAATGCTGATGAAGGAGGCAGTGACGCGGTGAACCTGTAAGCCAGGTCCGGCGCGGGACTCTGGCGCGGGTCCATGCATTCTCCCATAGGCCAGGGGATCTAGCAAGTTCTGCCCACCACATGCTCACCTTTGCGTCGCAGGAGAGACAAGGGCCTGTTAGTCAACTGCGATCGAGTCGAGCTCAACTCGGCCCGCCCAGTTGGTCTCACCTGAGCAAGACTGGCCACATCGCGCGGCGAGAGGTATCGGATAATACACAGCCCCACCTCCACGGGCAAACTGTTCCAGTCCATGGCGTCAAACTCCTTGAGCGAGCGGGGTGGGCCGACACTGACACATGAAATTGCCAGCCGAAACGTGCTGGGTGGAGGTGTCCCCGGTCGCCAGACGCTTGATGCCAATGCCGATGCCGATGCCGATGCTGATACAGATACAAGTACAGCCACGACCCCGTCGTTCTATGGCTCCCCGATCGTCGTCGTCGTCGTCGTCGTCGTCGTCGAGGTGAAGTGTTGATATTACCCAATCAGTGCTGCACAGAAAGAGATGAGAGAGTGAATTAATTTGGTGGAAAGGTATAAGCAGCTGAAAGAATAACACAATTACCACATGTAATGATAAAAAACCAGAAAGTGAGTGTAGAGCTCTTCTCTCTTCTCTCTTCTCATTTCTTCTACATGTGGTAGTTGTGCTGTATTTGCCTTTCGTTCTCTCTCAAATGGCTCAGTCTTGTGGACTCTCTCTCATCTCTCTCTCATCTCTCGCTCGTTCATCTCTCTTCTTCTTCTCATCTCTCTCATCTCTAAAGCTCTCTCTCTCTCTCTCAAGCTCTCTCTCTCTCTCTCTCTAAAGCTCTCTCTCTCTCTCTCAAGCTCTCTCTCTCTCTAAAGCTCTCTCTCTCTCTCTCTCAAGCTCTCTCTCTCTCTAAAGCTCTCTCTCTCTCTCTCTCTCTCTCAAGCTCTCTCTCTCTCTCTCTAAAGCTCTCTCTCTCTCTCTCTCTCTCTAAAGCTCTCTCTCTCTCTCTAAAGCTCTCTCTAAAGCTCTCTCTCTCTCTAAAGCTCTCTCTCTCTCTCTCTAAAGCTCTCTCTCTCTCTAAAGCTCTCTCTCTAAAGCTCTCTCTCTCTCTCATCTCTCTCTCTCTCTCTCTCTCTCTCTCTCTCTCTCATCTCTCTCTCATCTCTCTCTCTCATCTCTCTCAGTTTCTCTGTTGTGTTGTCTGTCGTTTCGCTGGACGGGGGGAGATGAGTGGTCGGTCACCGCCACCAGGGTATGGTGGCTCTGCGGAGGAGCGGCATCGGAGTCGTGAGCGGGGTCACAGCCGTGAGCGGGGTCATGATCGGGAGGATCGTGCTTCGCGCCGGCGCGACTATGATGACCGGGACCGGGACCGGGACCGCGGCCATGAACGTGATCGCAGCGCTGACCGTGGTAGTGGCCGCGGTGACTATGGCCGCGGTGACTATGGCCGCGGTGACTATGGCCGTGGTGACTATGGCCGCGGTGACTATGGCCGAGGTGACTATGGCCGCGGTGACTATGGCCGCGGTGACTATGGCCGCGGTGACTACGGTCGGGGGGACGACCGCTCACGAGATGGAGAGCGTCGTGAAACGTACGATGGTCCCAAGTTCAGACCCCAGGAACGGCATCGAGGAGAACGAGACCCCTCGGCCAGTCGTGATCGCCGTGAACAAGACCAGGACCGCGATGGTGCATCTATTCAAATGGTTGAACCCGCCGAGGACGGCCATGTCAACATTGAGGTCCGCTTGCCCCTGCCCCTGTCCCTTGCCCCTGCTCATGGAATGGCCAAAACTTGGCTCGACTCTGTGCCAGACCTGAGCAGCTTCCCAACCCTCATTCGCCCTCACACTCACACTTAAACGCGCATACGCACCCCTAACCCATACCCGTCATCAGGAAGCACTTGAGGTGGACGAGGTCGATGTCATGAGCGCCATGGGTATCGCTGGCTTTGGGACAACCCAAGGTAGGCCACCCTGTTCGACCCACGCTTTGCCCGCCTCAAACCTCCACTTGTACTTTCCCGTCCCAGACACACTTTTGTTCATGGAACAACATAGCTCCAAGAGCCCCATTTGGCACACCCTGGCCCGCTCGCCTCACCGCGTATGGTCATATATGAACGAACCCACCCACCCGATTGTCACAGGCCAACATGTCAAAGGCAATGGCGAAGCCTTTGTCAAGCCCCAGCGAAAGAAGGCTCGTCGATTCCGGTTCGTGCTAACCCCCGTCATCACCTCGAGGAACACTATTCGCTCTCGCCTTCAAGCTTCAGGTCCATGGAATAGTACCCCCACCCTCACGCTGCACATCGCTCGCCTCCGCCTTTTCCAGTCAATACATGAACCGTAAGGGTGGTTTCAACCGCTTCTTGGACAACATTCAATAGTGGGCTGACCCGAGTGCAGAGGAGGACAGCCAAAGGCCGGAACCAGCATCGTATTCCTGCTCCTGCATTTTTTTTTTCACTGCCACCACGATTGACATGCAAATGGGCTCGGAAGCAGTGCTGGTCCAAAGAGAGGTGCAACGAACAATTGTAACAAACAAAATGTCTTGGTCTCATGTCACATCCATCATCCACGCAATGTTTCAAGACTTGAATGGCCACATCCGTCAATTATCACCGACGTCGTCGACAGACTGATTTGTGTTGTTGCCTTTTACATTTTGGTTTATTTTTGCCATTTTTTTTAAATTTTTTTCCTCAAACTCATTCAAATCTCGTTTGCACGGTCGGGGCGCAATCTCCTGCCAAGCAAGCCTGCGGATCCATGGACGCTTCTTCAATCCGTTGCAACAGATTCCTCTTGGTTGGCCACAGTCTCACCCACAGGGGTGGCAGTCCCGTTGGCCTCGCCCTCCAGCTCGCCATCGCCATTGCCCCCTGCGGTGCCCCCAAAATCCTCATCATCCTCCTCGTCGTCGGGCTCTTGCGAGTTGTGCGTCATGCGCAAAATCTCGCGACGCGTGGTGGACTGTCGGAAAAAGAAAACACGATACAAGGATTCACCAGATATGCATGAAAATGAGACGGGATGCGCCTCAAAACCCAACTCTGCGGTTACACTTGCATTCTCCTCTGCCCCCCTTTGGAAGGTCGGACGAGGCACATACCATGCCGCGGCGCTGCGAAAGCTTGAGAGTTCGCTCTAAGCGTGTGTAGTTGATCAGATTGTCGTGTTCATAAAACAAAAAGTAATCCTAAGTAGGTGACGGCAGCGGCAAGGGTGGTGGCAGAGTTAAACGCATGCACTCGCCGGCAAACATGTGATAAGAAGTCATACGAGAACAAGCGCTTTGAAGCTCCGTTTGCCGTACCTCGAGACCCGTGCCAATGTAGCGGTCATCGCGCGTTTCCACATCAAACTGAAACTCGCGAATCTTGTCGTACTCAAAGACCTCGCCTTCTGCCACTCCCTTGCGCTCGGCGTCTGGAAAGACAATCGCACGATGAGTTTACTGATTCAATGACGACCATGGCCGTACAAAGCCAAAGTGTCGAAAGCGCTTGACGGTACTACGGGTTGAACGTTGGCAGACGGACCTTGGGCGTAGGTGCACAAGCGGTTGGTAGTGTCGACCGTGGGCAGAAAGTAAGCTGCAAAATTCTGCCAGTCATACATCCAAGCACAAGCCGGGGTGGGGGTGAGCTCGGTCAAGGACCCAAAGCTTTGATCTGTTGCAAGGAAGGGCAGCGAGCCAGGGTTGACCACATGAACCTACGGCCGACGTGTTGTTGTCCTGCTGAATTTCCTGCGCCACAAGAATGGCATTTTCCATTCGACTCAATGCCTAAGGAGGTGGGGTTACCGAACACCGGACATGGGTCCTCATGACATGATGACCGCGCCGGCATTGAGGCTGGGGTAAGCATTGGGAATTTGCAAGGGGCCTACGTCGTCCGTGCGGTTCTTCTTGGGCAGTGGGTTGCCGTCAAAGTTGGCGAGTGCAAATGCGCGATCTTCAAGCTGTGCACATTGGGTAAAACGCACCGCGCGGGTAGAGCAGGGTTGGGTATGAGAACAAATTTGCGGTGAACGAAAATTGATTTTGGGCAGGGCAGTAGGTGCGCATGGTGCACGGCGAGTGGGCGGACCTCTGAGGGCATGATGGACAGGACGCGCACGGGCTTGAGATGTGGCTTGGTGGGATGGCGGGGAACAAACTCGGCAGATTTGGTAAAGGTGGCCTCGACAGCCTCCAGAATCTCGTCCACCGTCTTTGGAGGTGGTGGCGGCTCCTGTCGGTGCTCCGGCTCTGTACGCTGCGAGTTGAATGGCAACGGTGGCCCGTGGTGGTGGGGAGATGAGTATGTTCAATGGCCACGAAGGCAGATGAGGCCATGGCAGGACAGCCCTACCATATATTTGGGGTCGCTGGCAACGTAATCTGGGCGCAACATGAAGGATGGACGGTTGACCCTGCGTGGGTCGCAGAATCCGCGAGAGCGAGCGGTTTTACTTGGGTAAGCATGCAAAGAAGCTGCGCGCGCAGTTTTTTTTTTTTTTTTTGCGTGAAGGTGAAATGTGTGTGCATGTGGGTGAGCGCATACATGGTTTTTGTGCGTTTGTTGGGCGTGGCGGCTGCTTGGAGGAAGACTTCATCTTGTGGATCGATCGTTGGCAAAAGATCTGCACCACGCGACCCGCCGGGATGGGTGGATTGTGAGTCACGGTCACCCAAAACGGGCGGTTGTGTACAAGCATCAACCTACCGTGAGCGCTTCGTTTGGGATTGTAGTCCTCGGGGCGCAGGAGGTTGACGTTGACACCCACATCGGCAGGAGCGTGCAACTGTTGACACAAGCACTGAGCACGGTTACGAAGTGTGCGCCACGGCGATGATGTCATGAGCGGCAGCTGACCTTGTACTGATAAGACTGAATAAGGGAGGTATCGCGATAGGCTGCTAGGCTGCAAATCCACAGGGGCAACAACCACCGATGCGCCAAAAGTTGGGGGTCAGCAAGAACATGTGTATTGACCCAGAGGACACTTGGATCAAATTGGGATCAAAACGGGCGTACCGGTTAATGTCGAAACTGCAGGGCAGGAACTTGGGAGGAAAGGGCACGTCGGGGAGATCGTTGGTGAATCGCGGATAAACCTCGAGGTTGGGGGCATCTCTGTCATGTGAGCAAGAATGGAAACGAGTGTGAGCGCGAAATGAGTGCAAAATGAGGTCGAGAGGCAAAGCATTGCCCTGCATCAGTCGGAAGCCAAAGCGTACCGACGATTTCTTCGTGTCGCATGCGACCGCCTATGCAACGCCGAGCACCCGAAGAAGCAAAAGCAGGTCAAGGGTGAGAAGCACGCCAGTTGTACACCCTCGCAGTAAGTGTCAGTGCACCCTGCGCTCGACCGCCGCACGACCACTCTTGAAACAAAACAACATTGACCATCACCCCACCACGCCCACTCCTCCCCCCTTGAGCGTAGGGGGGGGTTGTTCTCGGCTGGTCTTAACAAGGGAAACCAGAGGAAAGCCCATCTCAAGCCGCCACCCCCCCAGACGCACCGTTCCGAGTAGCTGGCCATGCCGGCGATGAGCTGAAAAAATGAAATCGGATTCGCCCCGGTCAAGTCGCTTCGTTCTAAACAGCAGTTGCCTACGGCGGATTTGTAACCGTTGAACAACACCTGTTGGGTTTTGTGGTTGTGATGAGCACGACAACGCGCGCCGTGTGTGTGTTTGTGTGTGTGGCCGCCCTCACACGTGCTGCCCCCTTCCACTCCTTCAGCATTTTATAGTGTAACAAAAGTCTCACTGTAATTAGCTAAAAGTGTATCTGATGGTGTATTTATTCAAAAGTAGTTGTCCTTGCTTGTGACATATTCGTTCCTTGAATTCATTAGTCTGACAAACGTTACACTTTTAACAGGACCATCAACCAAAAATGCACACACACAGACACAGTGTGTCTTCATGTTTTGGGTGACACGTTGACATCTTGCTCGCCCTCTCGTGCTGCTTTTTGCGACCGTTTTCTCGATCTCCTGTTGCTTCTCTGCGGGTGGTGCAGGTGCCAACTCTCTCTCTGGTTTGGTTTCCTTCAAAGTTTGATTCTCTTGAAGAAATTGTCACTTTGTCTCATCTTGTTAAATCGGCTTGCTTTTCGTGTTATGCTGCACCCTTGCTCCAAGCTTCTCTCTGCTTTTCTTTCGACTCCAAGCCCCCTTCTCTGCCTACCCTCCCCCACCTTCCCCGCCTCTCTGCCTCTTGCACAGCCAGACACGCTCCCTCTGCCGCTTCACGCCTCTGGCTCCTTCCATAACACCCTTCCTTGTGTCTTTTTTTTTGTATCTTAGTGCTCCCCAGGTGCGCTCGCGAACATGGCGTGAAACGGCAGCGGCGGTTGGCAGCCGGTCACATGTGCTGCATTGATGAATGGTCACTGGTCATTGGGGAGGAGGAAGAAGGAAGGGAGGGTTGTGCATTTGTGTATCTGTTTATCTCCCGGCGCCTTGTTCGGATGGCATTCGGAGCCGGAAGCACATGCATGTGACTGTGCACGCGCCCCGGCGTGTGCGGGGTCACTGTTCCATGTGCGCGAGAAAGACTCAGACAGTGTGTGTGTGTCTGTGTGTCTGTGTGTCTGTTTGTGGGGGGTGCGTGGCTTGGTGCATGCCCTACCTTTTGATTCATCATTGATCCGTTGACGTTTTGGCTTGTACCTCCTCGTGTCCACTGCCTTTCTATGGCCCTCGCTTGCCCTGGCCTGCCCTGCCCTGCCCTGCCCTCATTCCACTGGGCTTGGCCTTGCCTTTGCGCGTGATATGATAGTAGGCTTGCCGGGTCAGGATCCTCAGCAGACCGCCACCATGGGTTTCTTCCGTGTCTCCATCGACAAGACGCGCGCCGTCCTATACACGCTTGGCTTCCTGGCCTCGCTCTACGCCGTCGAGCTGGCCAGCTCGGCCTCCGTCTTCGATGCCGTCGTCGGCGACTACTCGGCCCTGCGCTCCTGCTTCGCCACCATCATGGCGCCCATTCTCTGGAACCTTCTCCCCCAGATCTTCGGCCCCGCTCTCATCAACTGGATCGGTCGTCGCCAGGCCATGCTCGTCTTCTCCCTCTACGTCTTCCTCTTCACCTGCTTCCGCTCTTGGGCCTTCCAAATGGGCATTGCCGATGACAAGACCAGCTTTGATGTTCTCCTCCCCTTCTTCCCCAATGCCACCGTCTTCCACAACATTTTCTTCGCCGTTGGTGCTGCCACTGTCCTTGTCGGCACCGTCCTCACCTCGGCCTCCTTCATCCGCCTTGGCATCTTTGGTGCGCTCGTGTCACCCTGCGTCAACCCCATGGTCTGGCTCTCAAGCTTGGCAGCTACCTCGTGCTTTGATGCTCACCCCCCTGCATCCCGGTCACTATGTAGGCACCTACATGGGCGAGTTTTTTGGTGTCATGCTCTCGGAGAAGATCACCACCTTCCCCTTTGACGTGGTTGACAACCCCAGTACGTTTTCAACCAACATCAAACTCTCGACTCTTGACAAGATGTGTTTTGCATGCACCCGGTCGCTCACCCTCTCTTGCTCTGCACGCGACCTTGATGCTCGCCGTAGTGTATTTTGGCTCGAGCCTGATGCACATTGGTCTGGCCATCATGGAACAGTCCCCTGTTGGTGTTGTCCTCGGCGCCGTCGTCTTCTGGTGGTACTACATGGCTGCCCTCTACGAAGAGTGCGTTGACACTTGAGCTTTCCCCCCCCCCTTGCGCCCAGCTTAAAATGACTATTCTTCTGCTTGAAGCTGCTGTTGCCCGTGGCTGACCTAATCTTTCTCCGCTCTCCCTGCCGCTCGCTTAGGCCCCTCATGGTTGAGATGTACAAGAAGGATCTCGGCAAGGTGCGCGTTCGCCACGGCTGGGACATCCTGGCCAGCTTCGCCACTGCTGCGTAAATTCTGCCAGCGTCAACCAATACAGCGTGGTCCATCCAATCAGGCTCTTCGTTGCCTGCGCCGGTCCTTTTGCTCTTTGTTGTTTGTTTCTTTCTTTCTTTCTTTCTTTCTTTCTTTCTTTCTTTTTTCCTTCTCTTGCTCTTTCCCTCGGCCAGACCTGGTGTTATGGAGAAATTTGGAGCCCCCATTCATGTTCAGCATTCATCCTGAGGCCACACTAGTTTTTTTTTTTTTTTTTTTCTTCTTACCCTTCGGTCCGTTACCCTCAAAGGGGAACCCCACCCACAATTGAAGTCGGTGTACTTTTCCAAGCTCTATCCCTTGATCCCTGCCATCTCGCTATACCCGACATGGCCTTTTTCTTACTCTGCTTGAAAGTTGCTGCACATCCCTCCTCAGCCCAGCCAGACGCATCTTTCCAGACGACATCTCTTCGGATGTATTCATTGGTGGCGACAGTCATTTCTTTTTTTTCTTTTTTTTTTCCGATAATTGTCAGCATACGATTGCGGCAAGCCGTCTTCGTTCTTCTTCAATTGGCATCCCTGCATCACATCTTCCTTTTTTTTTCTCTCTGAATTCTGATCCGATTGAGGGCTTGTGCGCATCCGACCACCACTTGCTGTTGTTGGCTGGGCTTGAGGGGTGCGTGGAATAAGCTGCACGTCGCGCGCGCAGGTCTCTGTGCACAGCGGTGCCTAGGCAAGCCTGATCTGCCTCGAATTTTCGTGGAATCAAAGCCATAGCTGAATGCCCATGTCCAGTTCCATGCTGGCAGCCTGGCGCTCGGTGCCGCAGCCCCGACTGTTGCTACAGGGGGCTCGACGCTTTCACGGCCTCGGGAACCCAACCCACAGCCTGTTCAGCCCTCGCGCGGCGTGCCCACAGAACATGGCTACATCGAGTGCCTCCTCAGGACGATCATTGGGGGGCTCGGCACGCTCTTGGCTTCCCCGTCGGACCGCCACCAGCATGGATTCAACTGGCAAGGGCCCTGCTGATGTTCAGCCTCGGTTCTCTACACCGCTACCACACCACCCCGATGGCATGCCTCGCTATCCCAGCCCGCGCACAATGGCAGGACTCCTGCGCTCGGCCGATTGGATCGGGACGGTGTCCTTTGCCTACAGCGGCTCCCTGCTGGCGGCGGCGGCAGGCATGGACGCTTTTGGGAGCTGCGTAGTGGGTTGCATCACCGCCGTGGGGGGTGGCACTGTGCGCGATCTGCTCATTGGCAATGCACCCGTCTTCTGGATGCAAGAGGTTGAGTATCTGGCCATGAGCATTGTAGCGGCCCTCGCCGCCTTTATCAGTCTCCCCGCTGGCGGGCTTGCTGAGGATGGCTTGGTGCTGCGCTGGACCGATCACCTGGGCGTCGCTGCGTTTGCCGTCATTGGCGCTCAGAATGGCCTTCGTCGAAACTTGGCCCCCCTCATTTGTGTCGTCTGCGCCATCTTCACGGCCACGTTTGGTGGGCTGACCCGTGACGTCCTTGTCAATCGTCCGGTTCGCATCCTCCATAGCCATGCTGAAGTAAGCACACGTCCTCCTTTCTGCTACAACCACCAACCCTATTCACAAGGAGCCCGAGCGGTCCCGGGCCTGCTGTTGCTCATGCGCCCGGCCCTGTCTTCTTAGGTGTATGCCACCTGCGCCGCCGCCACGGGAGCCGTCTATCTGGGCATGCGTGCCCTTGGGGCCAAGCCAGCCATGCGCATTGCCGCAGCCGTGCTATTTGGCACGCTACTACGTGAATTGGCTACGGTCAATCAGTGGCGCCTTCCCACCGCCATCGATGACGCACAGCGAACCCACGTTGACCTTTAGGCTTGACTTTTCCCGCTTGGCTCTGAGCTTGAACAACGCCCAAAACACACGCACACGCACACACGCACCCCTTTATCACACGACCTGGTGTCAGTTCAAGCCTTCCAATCAATCCAATTAACACGTCTCAACTATGAAGCAAACGATACGGGTCGTGCTCGTATCTTGTGGAAATCCACAAGGTAAAATTGGTTTATATGCAACTTTAACAACAGCAATTGTCAGCCGAACATCCCCTATGGTGTAACGGCTAGCATACCTGGTTTTCACCCAGGAGACCTGGGTTCGATTCCCGGTAGGGGAGTAATTCTTTTTGTTGAGCATAGCTGTTTTTTAATTGTCAGACGCTTTTTCTGCTTTTTTGTCAAAGAGCTGATTAAACGCCATTTATATTAAAAATTATCGGTCTCCTAGCAAGTTGCACATCCCCTATGGTGTAACGGCTAGCATACCTGGTTTTCACCCAGGAGACCTGGGTTCGATTCCCGGTAGGGGAGCTTAAATTTTTGCCCTGCCCTCTCTTTGGTTTTGTTGTTTTTTTTTGACGAGGGGTGGACTCTCGTTGGGAGCAGGGAGTGTGTGTGCTGTTCTACAATCAATTACATGGACGAGTATGTACGAGGCCAGGGTCTCAGCCGACTTCTAGGGTGGCTGGCGTGTAGATGGCGCCTGGTGGGGCAGACGGGGCCGGAAGGGGAGAGCCGCGGTACATGCGCATGGTGTCAAAGGCGACGGTCATGCCCTGGGATCGACAGAGGTCGGCCAGGCCGGTCAGGGGAGCCGGAACGTCAAGCACAAGCGCGACGGCGCCGCTGCCGAGGTGATGGGCGGCAGCACGTAGCAGTACTTTGGCGTGGGCCAGGTTGTCCGCCACCAGGGGTCCAATTTTGCTGGCCTCCCGACATTGGCGAACAGTGACAAAGCCGGCCACGGTGCCATCATCACGCTCGAGGACCAATGTCTGGCGATGCGGGTGGTCGGCGAGCCAGGCATGCATAAAGGCCAAACGGGTCGTGCCGGCACCGGCCGCTTCCAAGGCTGTGAGCATGTCAACGTCGTCGGGTCGGGCCGATCGCACGAGCGGGTGTGACTGTCCCTCCACGAGTCCTGTGAAGCGTTCTGTTTTATAGGCGGGTGTGAATCCAGATTTGGCATAGTTGGCGACCTGCGCTGCCACGCCTTCGAGCGCCACGCAACGGTCACCAGCGTGCTGAAGGGCGTGTTGCCACAGAGCAAAGCCGATGCCCTGACCCCGATACTCGGCGCGGCAGATGTATAGACCGAGGAACGCAAATTGGTCGTTGTGGTTGACCACCGCAATCGCGGCCACCGGCTTATCATCGCGCGTGGCCACGAACAAGCCTTCAGGATCGGCGGCAAAAAAGGCTGGGGCATCTGCTAGCCCGGGATTCCAGCCCTCGGCGGCTGCCCACTCAACCACCTCTTCCAAATCGGCCATGGTCATGGTCCGAAATGCCACCAGACCTGCCATGCTGCTCGTCGTGGCTGCCTCGCTCAGCCGGCTCGGGCACAATTTCCAACAACACGCTCTCGTCTTTTATAGCCAGCCAGCCAGCCAGCCAGCCAGCCCACCAGCCGCCAATCCGTCTTACGCCACGCGTGACTGGGCCAGGCAGGGGGAGGAGCTGGAGGAGGAAAAAACTGCGAATTTGAGAGAGAAAAAGGGCAAACACAACAACGTTCACATCAGCAAAAATGGTTTTTTTTGTTGGCTTTATAGCAGTTATGGTAGCACTCTTGGTGATTCACACTGTGAGACTAATGACGGGGTCGTCCACTTTATGCAGGTACTTGGTGAGTAGTTGCTGTAGTACAGTGTTGACCTGTCAGGCAGTTTTGGATGAAAGGGTCCAGGGCGTACTCGAGTGCGTCGGTCAGCACGGGGTTAGCGTTGGGGGTGAGCGGAGTTTGCATACAAGGGTCTTGACATGAGTGTGACGAGTGTCGCTTGTAAACTCAAGTAAAAGCACAATCTATCAATTCTAGAAGAGACCGGCATGCCAAGCCGGATGTTGGTGCCATCAAGGAAACCACTTGTTGAGCATCTCCATGGTGACAAAGCAAATGACGCCGCGCGGCCCAAGCCGGCCCCAATTGGGTAAGAACCCCTTGTATAAACTGAGAATGCCTTCATTGCGCACCGATTTGACAAAGCAATCGACCATTCCCGAGTACAAGAGGCCATGGCCGTTGGCGCCAACGGGCTGCCCCATGACCCGGGACTTGACCACGTCCAATGGAGACGTGGTCAGAGCACAGAGCAAGCCCGAGGCCAGGGAAGAAATCAAGACGCCAGAAACGGTCCCAGGCACAATGAGCTCGTGCTTGATCAGTTGCTGCTTGACCTGCACAGGGGCGCCAGCGTTGTGGGTGAGAGTTGCATCCGGGTACTGGCGCAAAAGGTTTTTGAAAACTGGCTGCTGTGCGCACACGGGCAAGCTGGCACGAATCTTGCCTCGTCATAGGAGGAGAGCTCAACGGCGGCCAAGACTGTAGCTCGGCCCATGGTGGGCCCAGCGCCATTCCACAAACGTAAAAACCCCTCCTCCTTGACAATGGATCTGACAAGAGCAAAGACCAAGCGTGGCCATGGATCAATAATGCTGGTGGCAGAGAAGAGAGCTCATGCCCTCGAACCAAAAAACGGGCACAAGGAAGTGACATACTTGAAGCAGTGGGTCATGCCGTGGTAGCGTGCTGGTTGGTCGCGCATGCCATCGACTTGTAAGCGAACCTAGGAGCGGAACAAAGACTGAGGGTAGATCAAGCGCGGCCAGGAAAAGGATGTACTGGATCTCACCTTGATCAAGTCTGTGGGGGTGGCCAAAAACGCAGCCAACGCGCCCGAGGTACCTCCGGCCGCAAATTTGGTCAAAAAAGGAATCTCACTCTTGGGAGTGGTTTCCGTGACCCCCATTAGGTTGCGGATCGGCGCGTACAATCCATATCTAGGAGCCGCCAACATGAAGAGATGCCATTCAGGCATATTCGGGGAGTCTAGATGATGTCTATCCAAAAGAACAACGAGGGCAGCCGATGGTATCTTCGAGACTGGAAAGCTGGCGTGCAGACTTACCGCAAACCGCCATAAAATGTCTACTCGCACAGCGGAGCGTAGCCATTGAGAACACTTGGAGTGAGCGGGAAACCAAGGCGGGCGGCTCCCAACGGCATGAGAGGGGGATCGTACCTGGCGTACAAGCGCTGGGGGGAGCCCTTTCCACAGAGCGCCAATGCCTTCTTTTTGGGCCGTCTTTAGGCCTGCATCGAGCAGGCCATTGAACTGTCGAGTGCCATCGGCTCCCTGCATCTGCATCCGCACCTTGACTACGTCAATGGGCATGGTGGCTGAACACACAAGACCGCGATCGCCAACAACCGCCAAGCCCCGGTGATGAGTGTGACCCAAAGACAAGCAGCAAGCGAACCGATTCCTATAGCCAGCCACCGAGGCTGCCACATTGCCTCACCCAGCTCGGCCAGACATGATGCCACGGCTCCAAATGCCAGGCCCTTGACCGGGCTCTTGGCCTCCATGTTAAACGAGTCTGACGAACCCTCTCACCGCCACCCCGATCGACCCCTTGCCAACGTTCCCGCTAGTAGTAGTAGTAGGAGGAGGAGGAGGAGGAAGAGAGGGGAGGAGGAGAAGAAGAAGAGGAAGAGGAGGAGGAAGAGTAGGAGGAAGAGTAGGAGGAAGAGTAGGAAGAAGAGGAGGAGGAGGAGAAGGAGGAGAAGAAGGAGGAGAGGAGGCGAAGACGAAGGAGGAGAAGGAGGAAGAGGAAGAGGAGGAGGAGAAGGAGGAAGAAGAGGAGGAAGCAGTAGTAGCAGCAGCTCGCGTCTACCCCGTGTTCTCCAGTAGCCAGGGATCAAAGATCAGAGCGATGAGATTTTGTGTTTTGATTTGTGTTGTGTTTTCCGCATCCAAAGCTTTCAAGAGCTGATCCTCTCTCATCTCTCTCCATGCCTTTGCTATGTATGCCTTTCTCTCTCTCTCTCTCTCTCTCTCTCTCTCTCTCTTCATCTCTCTCTCTCATCCTTTTCACATGTGGTAATTTTATAAGTTTACTGTGTCTTTCGTTCTCATTTATCCCATTGATCGTCACTCTCGTTTTTTCCAACGTGTGTGCAAAGGAGAGAGAGAGAGAGAGAGTGTGTGTGTGTGTGTGTGTGAGAGAGAGAGAGAGAGAGTTCGGACGGCGGCGGTTCAGAGGGTTGAGGAGGAGATCATGCGGGGTCCGGTGATGGTGTTGGGCGCCCTGCTCGGTGGACTGGTGGGCTTGAAGTTGGCAGAAGACTACCGCGTCTCGGCTTTGGTACGTGTGCCGACTCACCGCATGGGTCATTTAAGCAAGTCCTGACGTCGGCGCCTGCGACCCTCAGACCCAGCTGCAGACTCAGCTCGAGGCGGAGATCGACGCGCTCAACGTCAAGCTCGGCCGTCCTCCCAAGTATACGCAGCCACAGGCGCTGGAAGCTTCTCGCGAAGAGTAGCTGCGCGCGTCCGAAGCGGGTGGTAAAGGCGTCTCGAAACTCATCCACAGCCATGGAAGAACGCCTGAACCACTGCCTGCGCTTGCGGGAGCAGCTCACACGTACGTCTTTCAACCCGCTACCCATCCTGTTCTTTCTTGGTCCAGCCCGTACACTTCCTCCTCACGGGTTTGCCAACGTGTCAACCCACGGCACCCGATCATCACGCGTGGCGGGCTTTGCCACTTGAATGTGATCAGGTTCCGCCAGTAGTGAGGTTCGGCCCTCGCCAAATTGTTTCCGAGGCTTCCTGTATTAATATACCGGTCACATGAGAGTCATTCTTGACAACGATTTCTTGCCTGCCGCTCCCCTGACCTTGTTCACCTGTTATCTGAACGCTGGTCCCCAGGCTGGTCATAGTGTTGCCGATACCTTTCGCCACCTCAGCGCTACCATTATTATGCAGAGCCCTGCTCTAGCTCTGAAAAACGATTTGGTTGGTCCCTCTACTCAAGACGGGTGCCACCCCTATCCTTTTGCCGAAAAAAAATTCACACTCGCCGCCTTTGCACAGCACACACAACTTTGGAGACTCGGCATTTACCGCGTCTTGCAGCCCTACCGCTCACGACTCGAGACACTGCGCGTCAGCAAGGCTGGCCGTGCCCGTCAAGACAGCCTTGCCAGCACACATTTTTCCGACAGCGACCTCTATCAACGTCTTCTGGATGTGGCAACGGGTGTCCTCATCCGGTTCGCTACATCGTCTTACCCTGGCATTGTTGGGCGTGCCTTCTACTTGGCTTTTCGCCATTACCAAGATCTCTTACAGAGTGCCTGTTGCCACACACATACCTAACATACAAACACAGGATTGTTCGCCACCTGCGCGTCACATTTATCGACGGCACAGCCCAGCTTTTGGCCACTGGCCTCGATCCCTCTGTACCAACACCAGGTTTGCCCCGCCAGTCGGCTACACTCGACCAGAGGCTGCTCGCGCTTGAGCCTTGCCCCGGTTGTACCAAACATCCCACCCAATCGTATCCCCATCTCATTTCTCTTTTGCCATCTCCCCTCCCCTTGCACAGATGAGAAACATGCTGCACGTCTCATTGCCTTTCAACTCCTCATTCATCTCGGGGATACGGCTCGATACCACGAAGCCCTCGGCCATGCTCCAGCGGTAGGCTCTCACCCTCTCCTTCTCCGCTCCTTCAAGCACAACAAGCTAAATGCTGTCAACCTTTCCTGCAGACAACCTCCATCTGCAGCTACTACTTTGAGGCCATCCGACTACAGCCATCAAACGGCCACCCTTTCAATCAACTCGCCGTCGTCTTTATTGGGCGCAACGACCGAACTACCGCTGTCTTCTGCTATATGCGCAGCATGCTGACTGCCGAGCCCTTTTCGACCGTGCGTGAAAACTTTCACCGCCTTGCCAACAACATCCAGGTTTGTCCTTTCCGTTTTCCGAAACAACAGCCTCAAGGCTTTTTTTTTCCTTCCTTTTGTTGGATCTCCCCTCCTTCTCTCTTACCGCATGGTGCTGTGCTGAATGACGCAGAATCAGGTGACGGGTTGTCTGGACGAACAGGGCGAATGGGCGACGCGACCACACAAGCTCATGACTGCTTTGGCTGTACTTATGGCTGCTCTCCATCATCACCTTGGTCAGCAATGTGCAATGTTGCGCAGCCTCGGGCTCTCCCTCAGAAACTGGGCGACGGTCGCTGGCTTTTATGTTTGTTCTTGCGTATTTGTATTTTCTTTTTTGTTCTTCTCCGTAGATCGTGAGCAAGGCGCCGTCCATCAGCTGCAACAGGCCGTGCTTGATCCAGTCCCATGGTTCACGCTTCTTCAGCGCCCCGGTATGCTTTTGCTGTACGTGGGCCATACGACACCTTGCACGCTTGACTCACATGCTTGTTTTGCTTTCAACTGCTTGGCAAACAGCTCCCACCGACGTGTCGGATTTTGTCGTCTCGCCTGCCCACGGCCTGGTGGTTGCGGTGCTCTTTGCCGCACACCAATCAATGTTAGAATCCTCCAATCTTACTCCCGAGTTGGCCGCGACTCTGTACTTGGAAGCCCTTCATCTCCTGGTGAGGTGCACTGCACCCCATCGCATCGCATCGCATCGCATCGCATATGTCGACCCTTGCACCTACGCTTTGTCGCTGGTCACCGTGCAAGCTGTGGCCCTGTCGCGTCCTGACCTGGGGGGGCATGGTCCCATCCTTGGTTGGTTTGTTAGCTAGTGATTGGAGCTGATTGGCTGCGGGAAGCCCAGGCTGCTGAGAGTCCTCATGTTTTGCAGGGTTTAAAGGTAAGCTTGCTGTTTCCTTTGGGTCCTGGTCGTTGTTGTTGGTGTCTCGATGGAGATGGTATGAACTGACCGCATCTTTGACAACGACAGCTGCTTTTGGATTGGCTTTGTTGTCATGCCAATGAAATGTACGCCTTGGCACCACAGCATCGGTATGTTTTGCATGTTGCCCTCGTCCATCTTTCATGGTGCGGCAGATGTACGTGTGCGTGGGTTGATGTGTTTTGCCTTGCGCTTGCTTGGGCCGCGCGTAGGTGCTTTGAAGCATTGACGGCATTTGCAGCCGCCTTTGAGCGCAGCCTCGCAACACAGGATCTCACTTATGGTCCTTCTATGCAGCATCAGGCTGGTATCCTGGACTCATCAGTGTCATGGCCACGCTGGCATTGTGACTTACTGTGACCTTGCACATTCTGGATAGATGTATTTGCCCGAAGACGAGGCTCTGCGCGGTTTCTTACCGCTCGTAGACACCTTTGTCGCGGACCACGAAGAGGTACGTTTTCGCCCTTGAGCTTTGACCTTTACCTGTCACCCATCTCACCTCGTGCGGCTTCACCTACGCTGTGCACCGTCCCCAGACATGGCCCCAGCACTTGGCGAGTCGCGAGCGGTTGCGAGTCATTGGATCGCGTTTGGCCTGGCTGTCGCAAAATCTAGTCGTTCCCGACCATGATGGTATGCTGTTATCCGCGCCGGCATCGGTCGTCGGTCTAGCAGCGTGCTCAATACTTGGGTCATTCACAAACGATAGGGAAAGCTCGGCTTTTTGTGTTTGCTGCCCGTGAGGTCGCGCCTGCCAACACCTTTACTGTCGCGGCCTCGACACAGCCTGAGACGGTTTCGCATGGGATGGACTTGGACGAGCCCGAGCCGGCAGGTGCGAGGTCGACGCACGGTCCAGCAGATGCAAGCACCGCCTATTCTGCCCTGTCCGCCTCGTCGGATGATGTCATTAATGCCGTCCTGGGACTTGAGGCGCAGGCCAGCTGGACTGGGCTCGGTACCAACCCTGCGGCGCCCTGGATAGCTGGGGCATATGAGGATGGCCCACCAACCAACCCTGATGGGCGACTGCCCTTATGGAGTTTGTAGACACGGCCTGATTCTGTGATGGGAGTAAATCAGGGCGCGTTTGGCAGCTCCTTTGAGTTTGAAATTAACATCCCTTGAACTCTTTCAACTGCGAGTGACACGCCGACCCCCCTGAACTCGCATATCGACTCTCTTTTTGCCATAATTTTCCTTGAATTTAGACATATTTTTCACTGATTTTCTCTCCTTTTTTTTTTTTTTTTTTTTTTTTTTTTTTTCCGGTGGTTGATTCGACGTTCGCCGCTGCTGCTCGCCAGCTCTGGTACTCGACGCGCGCGCGCATGTACGCTGGCCATTTGGGTGCCATCACGCACAAAGGCATCACGTTGGTGGCCCAACGATGACGAGAGCACACGACTTGACATCACATTGGAAGTCTCAAATGCCAACCGAAACGGTGCAACAATCAACCGCACAACGAACATACAATATCTTGAAAGCAGGTTTGAATTGTAGCTACAAGGAGCTTGTAGGACACCCCAGACGTTGTCTGGATGCTGTAACTCTTAAAGAAAGAGGCGAAAGGACGCAAAGTGTTGCAGGTACAGACCAGCCAGGGACAACACGGTGAACACCAGCACTACCAAAGCCGTCGTATCACAAAATCTGGTACCAACAGGAAACAGGAAACAGGAAACAGCACAGGTATTGCCAACTCTGACCAGAACATCACCCATCTGAAACCAGGCGATTTGGACGGTGCACACACATCAGTGTCAGTGTGGTGTCATGTTTCTCCAGGAAAGATGATTCAGATGGTGGGTGATGAGAATCACCGTTTTTTTTTGTTTTTTTTAAAAAATTAAAAGGGTAGTCACAGCGCGGCACGGCCTGCAACTCTAGCCCGGGCTATGATCCAGAGCATGCGGGTCATGCGGAGTCAAACATCAATCCGCGTCTGCCAAACGGTCGGAGAAGTGGGCTGCGGTGACGGGCCGATGGCCACGACCTGCTCAACACCCCAAGAGGTCGCTTCATCAGGCGCTGTCCTGGGCACCGACACTTTACTCGAGCCCTCGTACAAAACCAAGCGTAAAGCATGCCGGGTCCTGACGGGGCTCACAGGGGAGCAAAGGCGGAAAGCACAGGACGCTGCGCGGACGAAAAATTGACACTCAGGGTGGGCGGTCGCGGGCCAAGCCTCGTGACGGCAGCCAGCAACTTCTCTGGATGCTACTCCATGGACACGCGCATGCCAACGGGGCCACAGCAAAGATGGACAAGAGGCATATGAACAGTGCCTGCCTGACCCATCCCCATAGCTGACACAGAGGTCGAGACGGCGGGGACTAGCGGATCAGGTGCTGCGACTGGGAACACAATCGCACTCCATTCTATGCGCCCAAACAGCGGCCACCAGATGCACGTGAGCAAGAGCAGAGAGATCTGTCGGGTTGAATTTTTTTTTCGTATCAACCAGAGACGGACGACACAAGCGGAAACTCGGAATCCAGCCGTGCAGACCGCGACGGGCGCAAGACTCACTTCGAAGGAAAAAAAAGATTTTTATTTGCGGTAGAAATCAAGGAGCGATTGAAATTCGAAGAACGATGCATAGCACGCGAAGAAGGTACAGTCGCCTTTTAAAGCAGACTTGACCCAAGATTCGTAGCGACGAAAGCCCGCCAACACCAATGAAGGCGTGACGGCCGAAACCGCACCCATAGGGCACGGGGAGTTGTATAGCCACTCCATGGCTGTGCTTCACAGTCGAGTCGGGCAGACACTATGAAACTGCCACCCACCACTTGCTTCCCTCTACTTATACTCGATCCCCCATATGTGTGTGTGCGTGCGTGTGTGCCAAACGCACAAGGTGGTTGAGAGGGGTCACGCCCACCTGATCCACACACACCTGAACTGCTTTGAAAGCGCAAGG